TCTCCTTGGTATGAGGGCAGGATGTGCTTGGGTTCTCAGTCTGAATGTTGCAGGGTTCCTGACAGCCGGTAAATGTGCAAACCCGTCTGCTATCCTCATACTGAATCAAAGCAGCGAGAAGTTCTGCATGTCTTGTTCCCGTGATGCGGCCTTTCATCTCACCGTCCTTTCACAGGAAAGTTTCGTGAGCAACCGTGGCACGGAGAACGTCAGACGAGAGAATGCTGAAGAATGGTGGGGTACACTTGGACATTTCCAGCCAGCTTAGCAAAGACCTCGGCAGGGCATTACAATGCGGTTCAAAGCAGGCGCCTTGAACACGATGAACGTCGGCAGCTCCCGAACTTCCATTTCAGAATACCTGCCAGGACTTCTGAGGAAAGACCAACCGTGTGTCGTAGGAAGTGCCTCGAATCCATCGGAAATCGATTTCATGACGCTTTTGGCACACACGACTAAAGCAAACTCCAATCGGGGAATCCGCAAGGCAGCCAAAAATCCTCTGATACTACTTGCGCAGTCAAGAACTTGACGCATCCAAGGCACAGGGGCTTCACGAGCTTGGCGTTTTTGCCTGTCGCGACAGCAGAAGATTTTCGGTGCTCATATCCCAGGCTGCGCAGAGTTCCACGGTTCCCTCTGCTCTGGTAGATTTCTAACCAATCTCGCTCCTTTCTTTCCGGCCATGCAGGGCCCTGAGGGAGTCGAGGCAACTTTCAAATTCCGCGAACCAAGACGTCAGCCCTGATCAGCCCTGCAGTCTGACCCGGAGGCAAATCAAGTCCGAGCCAACTCCCCCAGGCCTGGTTCCAAACTGATCTTAACCACCTTGACCCCATCGTCTGCATATTTGGCCTCGGCAGGCGCGAGATGGCGCGAGGTCGAGAAGGCTCTGCATACGTTTTGGGCGTGCCTGCGCACACGTGCGTGTGCATTCGCATCTGGTTTCGCATGCGTGTGGGGGTGCAAGCCTGTACCTGCAAAACCTCGTGTGACATTGTCCTTCGCTGTACTTGCTGCGTACTCGCTGTTGGACCAGATTAGCTGCTGGAAATGTCGTAAGACTAAGCCTCACACTGACTACGGATTATACGTGCCACTGATGGCTTGGATGATCTTCATGTGGCCCTGGTGTGGTCTGGTCTGGGACTGGCGAGTTTTGAATGGGTTCTGAGGAGGAGGATGACACAGCACTCGCCAAAACTTAAAGCTAGGTGTAAGCTTAATGTGCGGGTGCGGCGCGACGTGAAACTGCTGCTCCTGGCTCCAGTGTCGGCATCACCAAAACGCGGCGAGAGGCGCACGTGCACTTTGCAATCCAAGACAGAACTGGGACGGCGGATCCGAGGCTGCAGCTTCCCCGTCCAGATGCAAAAAGGGGCGGGGAAACGCAGAAAACCCTGGCTGTCACTTCAGCCTCCCCTAGCGGAGGCGATGTAAAAAGTAAAGCCCATAGTCTCGAGCTGTACTCCTGCGGCCACCGCGGGCATCCGCGGGCAAATGACCGTATTTTCGCAGCATGAAAAAAGTATAAATCTCTGTTCGAGAACAGGGTGGGTGGGCATGCGCGGTCAACTACATGTCTTCTTTTAGCCTTCACGGACATTCGTGAACCCTAGGCTTTACTGCTGTCCGCTGTCATCCTGGATCTCACCTTGCCAGGGTGAAACATCAAAGCCTGCTACCTGCTGCCTCAGCAAAGTTCTACGCAGACGGTGCCTCCAAACGGGCCATGAGTTCCCATCCACAAGGGTTCCCCACAGCCAGGCTTCATCGTGTTTGCGTTACCACAGCATCTCGATCCCAATCTTTTCAGGCAACTGGCGATCTGGCTGGCACTGGATTCTTGAACACTTCTTGATGGAAAAGAATGAGTAAGCGTCTCTCCCGGAGGGCGCACGCGAAAGCGTTTCAATGTCCCCGGACGGGGGCGGGGATGAACATTGCAGCAGTAGCAGCATGAAGAGCAGCAAGCACAGCAGGGGCGAATTGTAGTAGTCGCGTATGGTGCAGTGATTTCGGAGAGGCGAACATCATTAGCGCTTTTTTGAGGGGAGAGGGGTGCGGGGACTACCCTTGGGTAGTCGGCGCAGTAGTCCGTTGTAGAGTTGCGGATGGGGGATCGCACCCACCCCCACGGCAAGCAGAACATCATTCATTTGTTTTGAAATTGAAGGGGTGCGGGACAACCCTGGGGTAGTCAGAGGAATTACAGCAGGACAGCTACCGACACGATTGCGAGTAGGACGGCAAAAACGTAGTAGTTTTTCGTCACCCACATGGCACGCCAATGACAGCTCCGCGGGGACTTAAATGGTAGCTAGTCGCGACAAATGCCCAGTGCAAAACCGCAAAAAACAAGGTAAAGCCACAGCATGACCTAGGGGATCCATCGATCTTCAGAGCTATCACTCATGGCCCCCATTTATGTCACCAGACCCTAAACAAAAAGTTATCCCATGAAAGCCAGAGTCGAGGTCCAGTCTGGCCTCATGCCTTGCAAGTTTCCAATGATCAGGATGTCATCCGCTTGGGCGAATTGAGGTTTGTACATGTGATTGACGGTTTCTTCGGGAGGAGACCACTCTCACCACAGCAAACAACCACTGTCAAAAACCATTTTTGGAGGCTCACCACACCTGACCAAACACCCCGGGTCTCCTTTGCGACCTATGTGCGTCTAGAACAAGGTTGAGCAGTTCGATAGTAGTAGTAGTAGTAGTAGTAGTAGTAGTAGTAGTAGTAGTAGTAGTAGTAATAGTAGTCGTAGTAGTAGTAGTAATAGTAGTCGTAGTAGTAGTAGTAGTAGTAGTAGTAGTAGTAGTAGTAGTACCAGTAGCAGTAGCAGCAGCAGCAGCACCAGCAGCATCAGTAGCAGTAGTAGAGGTCGTCGTCGTCATCGTGGTTGGTGTGAGAAGAAGTTGGGCGGGGGTAGGGGGTGGTGGTGCGTGCGAGAAGGAAACATAAAAAGGACTGGACCGGCGCAATGCCTAGAATCTGGCCAGGCTGGGGCCGGGTGCTTCCTGCTCTCGGGATAGAGCGCTGCTGCTTCACACGGATCCTCCTTTTGGATCAGTACAGTATCTGGCTTTGGCTCCAGAAGCGGCGGAAGGACAGCTGTAGATGAGACCGAAACATGTGGCAACGGCAAAATCCTCGTCGTCTGAAAGTCGGCATCATACCCAAAGACACCCAAAAAGATCACGTGGAAAAACCTAAGATACCAGAAACAAGAGTAATTAGGAGTTAAGAAATTAGTTGTTCACAAAGATGACTCTGTTTGTCTTTAACTGATTCTTGTAAATTTAGTATGCGGCCTGAGCAGCTGAAAACTTGTAAAACAGTTCACGAATGTGTAACATGGGTTATGGGATTAGTAACACAGCTTGTACTAGCATTCGTCAAGAACTGGAAACCTAGCTATACTAGACCCGAACCCTTCAATGGGGTTCAAAGCCCCGTCAAACCAAAACCCAACCAATTGCCCACGCCAGGCAACAGCCAGCTCTTCCACCTGGACAGTGCTGCGATTAGGCAGCACTATGATCCGCTGAAACCTCCCCGATCAAGCTGACACCCCAAAGCTGAAGGGAATGTACTAGTGCCATGTCTCTTTCTCTGACTGGCCTTCGGCTCCATGAGGAAACAAGGTCCACACATCGACGAGGAGAACATGGCCTGAGGGCTTCCGCTTCGCTGGTAGTTTGAGCCAGGCCTGGCTCGGGAGTACGGCCGTATGAGGAAATCGATTCTGAGCCGGTACTTGTAGCGAAATATACTGGAGCTGTAACACCAGTACGGCAGTGATGTTTGTGGTGGCGGGATGATTCGATGTTTGGGACTTGACCTCCGACCTGTCTGGATCGCAGCTGAGCAGCCACAGTCAAAGAGCCGTTGAGGTTTGCGACAAAGTCTTCCCTCGTGTCGCAAGAGAGAATGGCACCTTCCCAGGCTGGGAAGCACAGGAGTGAGGCTGGGAGGGTTGTCACAGGCGCTTCCTCTCGAAACTCTATGCAAAGTCCGAAGCCACCAACAGCCACCGTCGCAGATCTGGCCTTCGCCCGCCCCTCTGGCAACCAGAGCTTTCATCCTGCCTCTAACACGATTATGTTTGGCAAAGAACAGGGGCAAACGCATCAAAGACATCGTTCGCTACTTATTGACTTGACCCAGCCAACCCTCGTATCGCCCGCCCCGACAACGCCTTTGACACCTCATGCCAGAAGCCTCGTGTGATAGCAGCCGGACTGGCAGCACAAGGGTTTTGCCGACCCGAACTGAACCTGCATCGAGACCATCAACCTGAAAGACAGGAATGCGGACATACTGGAACACAACTCTAACTGTGGAAAAACGTCACAATCTCATCATTCCACAAGGCAAAGGATGTGAAACACTGTATGTTCAAACAAACATGCACACTCCGACAGGGCCGACTGTGGCTTGGAATGCCAAACACTGGTCACCTCTCTGACCCGGCAAGGTGCCAAGAAGCAGCAATCTCAACTGCCGCTGCGCTGCCTGGCATCTTTAGTCCCAGGTTGATGAAGCTGAAGCTCGATTCGGAAAACGCCTCAGCTGAAGTGACAAACATTCTTGCTGCAAGCACTGGAAGCTTGCACTTTCGCGAAGTTTCCCAAAGCCTGATGCCAGCGGTCCGAGCGGCCGCAAAGAGCACCAAGCAAAAGCTGGCCAAGCAGCGTCGACGCATCATTGAGCTCCTGACGACTCCGCCAAGCCGCCCAAGCTAGAGAACTCCTCCCCACTTTCCCTTATCGGTTAGTACATTCCGGCCTGTGCTGCATTTGCGCTGCTGCCAGATGCCACGTGTTTATGGCCAAAAGCTTCTTGCTCGAGCCACGACAGGCAAAGGCCGGTGTACAGGAAGCCGGGGGGAGGGCTGTGTGCCAAGACAGGCCTTCAAGAGCTTCGTGCAGAAAAAAAGGCACTGTAACTATGAAACTGCGCTAGTGTACAACTGGCAATGCAAAGGCCCCGACCATCCGAGAAACGCCAGTGAAGCTGCAGGCAACCATCACCAACAGCTGTCTGTGCTGCAGCATGACAGCCGAATTCTGGCAGGAATGCGAGGATGTTCACCTTGCCGCGGCCGTCTGGCTGTGCTGGCACAAATACTTTGCCTCCAACGTGTGGCAAAGGATAAAAAACCGAGGCCGCTTCAGGACCCGCACAGAGCAAACAACAGGTCACCTGAGGCGAGTGCACTGCCAACGCATGCACGAAGATTCCAACGACCTCACCATGCCCCGAATGCCCAAAGCCGTGTCCACCATGCACCTCCACGGGTTCGGCCCCTTGCATTGGAACGCATACGCCCAAGACAGGTCGGGCAACATCCACGTGGAGCATTCTCAAGCACAATCGCAGCACAATCGTATGGTCTCCCAAGGGCAGCGTGAGAACCTTGTCGTCGCCGGCCCGCAGCCGCAGCGCTAGGATATCCACAAGACAGTCCGGGTCGGGCCGCAAGTCATCCGAGGTAGTTCCCTCTCGGTCTCTGCCGATTTCTGAAACTTTCCACACAGATCGGCCCACTATCCGAAGAGGGTCTGAAAGGCAAACCTCCGTGCAATCCCCAATGCGACAGATGTGGAAGATCGTGTCCTTTGCATTGTCTCCGGACAAGGAGAAGCAACCGGAAGGCACGCTTAACGCGACCGGCAGCTGCAAGATGGGTGGCGCTGCTAACAGGGTAATGCGAATGCTAATGCCACCGGCACGCGACCGCGGTCTGAGGAACTCTGCAGGAAAGAAGCGGAGGTGCATGGCGACGGAGACTTCTGTGCCGGGCATCTTGAGCAGTACCGGGTCTGGATGTGCCTCCGTAAACATGTTGCATGGCCCTCTTGGGCCCCTCATCTTCGAAAGGCGTTGGATGCAGCTTCCTTCCCAGCCCGCCTCCTGACATGTCGCACGAATGCTGAAGAGGAGATCTCTTTCCACCACGAACAGCTGTTGATGTCGCCAATGCATCCACTTACGATGATGTCCCGCTTCCTCCTCCTCTTGCACGTGCCAGCTCACGAAACTGCTGGAAGGGCACAACCGCCCTCGGTCATCAGGCGGTCCTGCAGCGGCTTCAAGGGTCCACAAACCGCAGTGGCCTCGAGGCATATCCCTGATCTCCGGAGAAAAACGTAACACTCCACACCAGTCCAAAGGGTGGGACAGGTCGGGCAACTCCGCATCTTCGGGCAGCGGTAGCGGACCTGGGCCGACGGCGACACTGCAAACCTGAAAGCTCAGCACCCCGTATCGGCCAGGAGCCCCTTCAAGACTTTGCCGGAAGGAGAGCCGGTGCTGGTAGGCCAACGGTGCAAGATCCTCTTTGAGCCGCACATAACCGAAACAGAAGGGAGCTCCTACACGCGGTTGAAGGGGGTCGGCATCCACCAGCATGATCGTAAGTTCGGAGTTGCCTGGATAGAAACTGGGAGTCTGGAGGGTGAATGAAGGCCAGCGTGGCCCTGGGAAGCTTCTTTGGCTCTGTGAGGGCCTGCCATACGGTAGCCCATCCACCAGGGTCTGCAAGGCCACCAAGCCACACGTCCCAAGCTCATGCTCCCTGGGACAGAGGTCGCTTGCCTCGATGTCCGCCAAAACGATCCTGCATGCGATCTATGCATGTGATCTGTTCGCATAACCAGGCTACTGGTAGAGTACTGAGCTCCTGTTGCCTGTGCGATGCACACCTATACTTCCAGCACACAGTTGAGATAGAAAGATAAGTGTGGAGTTTTGAACGTCCATCACCACTTGTCAGGTGAGGCCTGGCTCAGACGATTAAATGAAATCACTGCAGCTCAACGCTTGTAGTCCATAGTTGCGATGTCCAAGCTTAATGTCGCTGATGTCGCAGCTACTATCCTTTCCCGCTGCTACGTGTTTCACGTCGCACCTTGTGAGTGATGTTGCCATCTTGGTGCACCCGGCCAGCCCATGCCATCACGCCAGCTGGCTCACAAGGAGTAAAACCGTGCTATGTTTGTCTCTGGGCCTTGTGTGCCTCCGCACCAACCGGGCTCCTTGTTCGGGCTCCGTGGATCCTAAGGAGTGCTGACCCCAACCATCGCAACTGAGAACAAAAAAGCGGAGGATGTGACGGCTCCCATGGAATCCTAACTGCCACCAGCCTCATGCTCTGGAGATTCTGGAGCTGCACAACGAGCGCGACCCAGTACAAGCAGTGCTGTGCCTGGCTGTTGACTCCAGCAGCGGCAGTTTGTCTGGTGCTGTGGTGGATGCCACATCAAATTCGTGGTTTTGTCGTGGCGACTGGGCTGCTCAGCAGCACCGCCAGCGACAAAAACTCACGCACTGGCACTGCCAACTGCACAAGCAACAGGAGCAAAGTGGAAGCGTGTGTTTGGTGAGGGTGCTGTGCAGGTCACAGTGCCATCAGCATGCAACGAATTAGGCGAATTTGCTATCATACAATTACGGCACCGTAAGCTTAAGGCGACATCACGTCCGTTTCGGCCTTCACAACGGCACAACGTTAAGGTGACAGCTTGGCAAACGGACACAGAAGTCTGTATGCAGACCTACAGACTTACTAAGCTTACGTGCTTACTCACTCATTTCAACCTACGCATCTTTCCGTGTAACCGAGTGACCTATGCAAACAACTATGCTTGCATTCATTCGTTATGCGCAAACAACTAACCGGTGCCTTAGCATCATGTCATTATATGTATGCAATCATGGTCTGTGGGCGAAAGGCACTCTTAAACCCCGCTTGGACTGGCAAAATCCTTGACAAACTCCAAAAACTCTTCGTCAGGCAACACGATAATCGAACACTTAAACGAAAGAGCACTCGCACAAACACTTTTGCACCGTTAGCTTAGCTTGTAATTAGACGTGGGTGAAGGCAAGTTCGCTCTAACTCTTTGCATGCGCGCACTGCAATCCAGCCCTGGCCATTTCGCACCTCGCCGCGCAGCCAGCTCACATGGACTCCTTGCGCGACCGCAGAAAAGAAGACATTCGGTGGCGACATGCATTCACATTGGTAGGTAAGGATGAACTAGTGAGGTTGCGTTGATCATGCCCTTGCTAGGACCCATTGTGGATCACTGGACCACCTGTCTCCAGCATGAACTCTTGCTCAGGGCATGAACTCTAGACTGAACTCTCTCTGTATAATATCGGTATACATATATATATATGTATATATATATATATATATATATATATGCGTGTGTGCGTGCATATGTATGGATACAAGCAAATATTTGTTGGTCACTCGTGCTCGACAAGTCAGACGAGGTTTGCGGAGAGCAGCATCAAACTCCATCACAACCAAATATACATACACATGCACGCGCATTGGCACATCCGCATCGGCATATGTACCCATGCATACACTATATCCGTTGCACACACTACATACATTGAATTACATGCATTACGTACATATTATGTACGTATATGCAATTACATGTAAAACCATACCACATCATCACGTACAATACAATACCTTGCCTTACATTACCACACATTACGCTAGCATTCATTACATGAATACATGCATACATACATGGCGCCCTCCGCCTTGCTTCAGCAATCTCCTAAAAGGGGTGCTTGTCCTCTTCGATATCATCGGCGACAGGAGGTGACCGGAAACCGGCAGCTCGGATAATTTCTCGGTTTTCTGTGCGGCCTTGGAACAGGCAAGGGTCAGACCAGTGCCTTTCATAACAATGTGGGTTGGAATCAGGACATGACTGTGGCGATTACATGGGTGCTCTCCGGAGTGACACCCTTGAGCTTACATCGAGCAAGGCCTAACTCTGTCTCCTCCGACACCATCCACGCACTTATCCAGAATCCGGAACCCTACATCTGTGAGCACGTGTACTGCAACCCTGTCTTATGGTTGCAACCGTTGCCCGAAGCAAGCTTCGGAGGCAGGGTGCCTTCAGGTGCCGGATGTCCATCGAAGCTCTGCACCGATGTTTCACTCCTCAGGCTTCAGGATCTGTTTTGACCCAACTTCTCGAGACGACGACCCGACTGCGACGCTCTGGCAACTCGAACTTGCCAGATGACGTCTCCCCGACAGTTCATGGTTGGGATTGCGATCGGGATTAACCCAGACACCGACATGGCTTCTGAGGGGTAGATTTTTGCTTCATCGGTGGCCATTTTCAGCTCGAGGCTGATCGCTACTTCGGCTTCCAGGTTTCACACGCATGTCCTCAATCCCTCTCAGAAAATTCCTAACACACGGAGAGGACCTCGCGAGAGAAGAGACGCGACGCCGGGGTTTGGGAGGTGGGGAGGTATCCAACGTGCACGAAAACTTCCTTTCATGACAAATTGCCAGCAGGTGGAGATCTTCTGTGGAGCAAGCAACCTCCCAAGTTCCTCTAGTTGACAGGTACCGAACCCGCAGAGGTCCCTGACGTGCCAGCTGGGGTACGCAATGTCAGTTTCTGTGACATGGCTTTGCTGTACTGGAGCTGTAGCTTTGCGCACCATGTCCATCATACCATGCATGCCACCAGAGGCTCAGGCAAAATGGAATGCTGAAGTTTCGTTGTCGCTAGCTTTGGGGTTTCGTGTTGTTTTGCTCAACCGGGCCAGTTCACTCTGAAGCAGCGGAGCAGGCTGGAATTTCGAGTCCAAGACCAAGGCCACGCAAGACTCAAATGGGGCCAATGTGCATCTAAGAATCATGGGCGAGAATGGCTTGACGGTGGAGCTCCTGGCCAGCACTGAGAGGGACAGCACATCCATGCAATGTGACTTAGCAACTAGTGCCCTGGTGGTAGCACCTAGCATCAAAGTGAGGGAGTTGGTGCAAGGTGGGCAACCCGAACAAAGTTTAGAACAAGGCTACCCAACTAGCCACGTCCTCAACTCAACTGTGCAGCTGCTCGTGCCGAGCAAAGCTTCCGAGTTGCGGGCTGAGCAGTTTCTGCCAAAGGTGTGCTAACTTCATTCGCGGCACCTGGGTCACGGTCTTGTGCTACAGCTCGACGCGCATAGTTTCTTTGCAAGGATGCAGGCCGAACTTATCTGTTGCAGTTGAAAGGACACACTGGAGGCTTTGCCAGATCCCACCAACCAGGACTGCAGCAGGGCAGAAACGACTCAACTCGCGTTCGTCCCCAGCAGCCACGAGTTCTTGAGCGAGACCAAGAAAGACTCCAGCGAGCAGCTCGATGTCCCCGCCGATTCCACGGCGACTGCTAGCAGGAAGCGTATCCGAGTGCGGCGCTTGGCTTCCCTTTTGGCTGGAAGGAAGGCCCGACCTCCACGACTCGACGACATGCTTGGCCCTTCGCAGGCGTGCCATCTGCGGCTGCGGCCCATGTCGCATCTCCGGTGTCAGACCTGGCTGTTTGTGCAGCCCACTAGGCTCACACAAAACTTCAATGTCAAACGTTGCAAAGCCGAGCAGAACTTACCTGACACACGAACAAGCCCATAGAAGCCCTTTTCAATTTCTCAGAAACTGGCACGCTCGCGAAGGACAGGTCTCCGACTGGACGAACCTCCCAGGATGAGTTCTTTCGGGGCACCTAGGACCCCGTGCTTGGAAAGTCCGTGTCTGTGCTCGGACCTCGTCCGAAACGGGCTGGGAGGACACAGGCACCTCACCGCGGCTGTGAAGGGCACTACCGGCAGCCAGAAAATCGGGGCCCTGGCTTCAGCGGTTGACAAGCTGCTCGAAGCACCACCAATGCCTTCCAGATCAAAACCACACTGGAAGCCGGTGCCAAAGCCAGGCTGGGCCCCAAACCCTCATAGCTTTGTGCTTGCTTGTGGTTTCTACAAAGCTCCAGTTGGCATCACCCTGCCTGTGAAGGGAACCACGTTCTCGCGGCCAGCGCCCTGATTGCATCTGACCCTGTTTTGCTGACGGCCGAAAAGCACAAGACTTCACTCAAGTGGCGGAGTTCGCACAGAGCTCCCTGAAACAGTTTGCCCTTGCTTAAAAGACCCACAATTCCTCAACTGGATCTGGGCCGGCTGCGGCCGGCGGACTGATGGTGGGTCGCTCCGAAATGGAATCCAACCTGCGGGCAAGGATCATGACCTGATCATGACTGTCGGTCAATACTCTAGCTGCTTTAGAGGAGGTGCTGCTGTACACTCTCTGATACGTTGCGTTCCACTCACGGGCAAGTGTGAGCTCTTTGCAATCGCCGTCATTCGGAAGTCTCTTGAAGGCTCTGCGCCAGTGGAGATCGAGCATTCCGGTCACAGCTCCGCTCGCGAGTCCCGCGCGCAGGTCGAGGTGGGCCCACGGTTGCCGCCTCCTGCGAGAAGAGCTTCGAAGTTCGGCGACAATTCCGGGAAATACATCTGCAGGTGCAAAGCACGGATACGGCACACTCATAATTCCACCAAGACCCCATGATTCAAAGCCAGTCCTGGGCCAGAGACGTGGTGCCGGCAGATGGAACCGGCGTCCTTTCAACACTGCTACAAATCTGTTGGCTTCTTCCAGGCCCCGCGCTTGCACACAAACGATGGCAGAGCATTGCCTTTTTTCCTCGCTGGCACGAGGGCATCCTACGGCAGAGGCCAAAGCAATCTGCGGTTGGGTTTCAACTCATCTGGCAGTTACAGACACCTTAAACAAAGCGCGGGGCATTGCGCAGCGGCTCCGAGGTCGCAGTGTTGTGCACAGAGCCTCTAGGCTCCTTTCTACACCACCCAAGGGCCACGTCCGAAAAGGTGAACCGGGGTGTGGTGGACGAAATGCCAGATGAGGATGCCGATCCAGCGGTCACGGCACTCGTCGATCTTCGTAGTTTCGATGATCTCCTTCTGAAGGGCTGCAGGGATCCACCAGTTCACCATGTAGCCGGAGCCTCCGCGCAAGTCAAAGAAACAAATCGTGGTGGCTAGCTTGGCTGGGAAAGGCTGGGAAACCCAAACACACCATGACCCACCCAGCCTTTGTTCTCGTTGGCTCCAGCGACAAAGCAAGCATCATGAGGACCCAAGCTCCTGAGCTGAGCCGGAATGAGAAGAGAAGAAGAGAATTGCAAAGAGCCTCCACTCATCCCTCCCTCCCCCCGTCTTCGACCCCTCGACTGCTGCACAAAGCTCGTAGCGAACATGCCGGCACCCCAGGGCCACCAGGTCTTCACGAGGTTCTTGTTGTTGTTGGCCTGAGCTCAGGTCTTGAGCGAGAAAAAGCTTCGAAACTGCCTCTGGCTGCGAAAACCCACAAACCAGCACAAATTTCAAACCATCTCTCATCTCTTTCGAGCCACCAGCCGCATGACGTTCAGGCACGCATGGTAGGCCTGCTCCTCACCGGGATAGGAGATCTTCGGGACGGGTGGCATCTCCCACTTTCCGGGCTCCCCAATGCATCCGTAGTTGCAGTCACCAACTGCGAAGATGGAGCCATCAGCCCAAACACCGCCACCCTCGGAAGGCTTCACCGTGACCTGCAGGTGCTTGTTGAAGTGGATCCATCCACCTCCACCAGGGCCCTTGTCGGACAAGGTGTTCTTGGGCATGAAGTAGTTTGAGGCCTTGACACCGATGCAAACGTAGGTCTCGTCAGCTCCGTTGGGCAGCTCGATCTTCTTCCAGAAGTCTTGGTTCTTGGGGTCATAGCCGCAGCTGTAGAACTCCTTGATGCCGCAGGCGTTCATGTACTCGGAGCAGTAGTTGGCAGCACTGTCTGGCAAAGGTCCCAAGCAGCGCGGCAAGAAGTCAATGATGGTCAGCTTGACATCTGGGAAGAAATGCTCGATCTCCGTGGCCCACTCCACGCCAATGAACCCGGCACCGACGATGAGCACTGTGGCCTTCCAAGTTGTATTTTGCTACGAAAACCTAGGGAAACCCACAGCTACAGCACGACAACCTGCTGACACCAATATTGTCCCGCATGACGCAGACTCTCCCACCCTGCTGCCATCCGTAGGGTCTTAAGGCACTATGGCCTTCTTCTTGTTCAGGTCCTGGAGCTTGTGGTACTCCTCCAGAACGTGACGGCGGCGGCCCTCGAGGAAGCGCTCGTCGATGTGCTTCCAGTCGCTGACGGCCCGCCCTTCCTGTCAAGAATGACTCTAAGACACTACGACATACTACAACGTCTCGTCAAAGGCAGAAGTTCCAAGTACCCTCGGTGTCCTCATGGACTGTCGGGAACCAAAGGCTCTCGCCCATGGGCTTGAAAGGCCCAAAATTGCAGCCTTCGCGATAGCTCTTGGCAAACAAGGGCATCAGAAGTGAAAGGGCTGATGATTCGGTTCTGTCTTTCGTTTGGCATGAAGGGGTCTTCAAAAAGCCTTCTTCGCATCTCGTGCATTCTCTCGCCGGGTAGTCCGGCAAATTTCAGCATCAAAGCACTCGCTTCGCATCATTCGGTCCCAAAGACTAGTCACTAGTCTTGACGTGCGATGCGTGCGCAGGTCAGCAAATGTCAGCACGGCGCCTGAGCAGATAATGCAGTAGTCAAACCCGATCTCATCCATATTGTTGGAGAACATGGTCTTGACGATGGCCGTCTTGCGATCGCCGTTCAGCTCCTTCACTTCTCCCCAGATGAACTTCACACCTGAACTTCGAGCATCATGGCACGAATTACACGTCCCGGAATCCTGTTAACAACAAAGCTTCCGCATTCCGACCAGTCGCCCATCTTGCGCTCGTACACAGGCTGCAAGGTAAAGGTCAAAGAATCCAAGTGAGCTGGCCTCACAAAGGCCCGGAGAACCCCCGGGGTGTACTCGAAATACTCCTTGCATTTTCGCATCAGGATTCTGGACATCGGTGCTTGATGTGGACCGCATGACGCAAGTGGGCTCTCCGTCTCTGTACCCTACCATGTCGTCCTTGGCATCAATCACCGTGACGTAGAACTGTTTCTTCAGCTCCCTTGCACAAAAATTGCCCGTAAACTGGCCACCTTTGCTGCGAGACGATGTTTTCGGAAGTAGCTGTCTGCGTAGCAATGCAAGTTCACCCGTGTATCACCACTCTGACGGCGAGGGCTGCAGCCGTTGTGGGGTAATGCCGTCCTGTCACTGCTGCTTTTCCTACCTTGCCGGCTACTGTTCTACGAGTTGGGACCGCAGCACCCCACGGGCACCGCTCGGATGCAGTCATCCTGGACTGTCATCACCCTTTTCGAATGCCACCCGCATCCGCCCGCACCACACGTGATCTCACTTTCGCATCCACAGTGCGACACTTGCTGGCAGGGGCCTGATCCTGGTTTGCGAGCAACCTTCATTGCGGCTGTTTGGAATGTTGGTTACCCGGTGCAAGTTCTGCCTAATTTCGCGCGCTGGTGGCATCACGATGGCTGGTGACTGTGCAGTCCTGGCCTCACCTCCCATGTGTGACTCTCTGCTATCTACTGAACTCAATGCAAGGCGCCGATGAGGAGGCAACGAGGCTTGGCACCCGGCATTGTCGGAAAAGCAGCGTGAGAGAGGGGAGTGCAGAATGCTCACGCTCTGGTTAAACAGCTGAGCCCATTCCAGGATGACAATGGCATCAAATGCCAAGACCAAGCACAGATGCCAATGCGATGGCGCTACACTCTCCGCGTTGCCTTTGTAAGAGCAGGCACTTTTCGATCTTGTCTTGCCGAGGCCGCGGCTTCGGGGCTGCTGCTGGCGGCCTGGCACCAAAAGCAACGCGGCTCTTTCAAAGCTATGCACTGCTTGGCGAAGCGACCCAGGCTCAGGGGGGATGGCTTCCCAAAGCTTTGCTGCAGCTAGCATCGTCATGCATCGTCAGGAAGAGTGCAAGGCAGCCGTGTCTGCTTGTCCCCGTCACTCAGAATCAACATGGAGTGCGCACTCAGATCTCACATGCAAGCACAAAGGCTCCGGCAGCGGTGCTGCACCCAAAGGCCTCGCAATGTCACCATCAAACGGAGAAGGCCACACTTTCACTTTCAGGTCGCGCGCACTGCCAGAGCCCCGAGAGCCCCGATGCTTGGGACGTGGCTTTGCGGCCAAGTCAGCAGGCGGCCTCGAAGAAACCGACGGTTTAGAATGCGGGAAGGTCTGCGCGCAAGGCTTCCTCATCTAAGTGTGGAGCTTCGGTATTGCGGGCGATGGTGCGGCTTGAGCTGGCAACCTTTCCAGTACTTTGCCAAGCGCATGCTCGCTGTCGCCTGCCCTTGTTTTTTGCTTGGGTCGCAACTTTGGCGCAGGAGCAGCAGCACTTGGAAGCCTGCAGGGGCCGCTCATGTGTGCACACGTTTTGTGGCTTGCAATTGGCCAAATCTGAACTTTGCCTCAAGTCTGGAAAATGACACTTCAGCAGCTGAGGCCAGCACTTTGGCGGCTCAGGGGGCCTCAAGCAAGCCGCAAGTCCTCTCTTGACTTCAACGTCCAACTCTTGCCGAGCAGCGGAGGCCCACCTACAGGCGGCCTGGGCTCGCCAGAGATAGGAATTCATGAAAGGCTCAAGCTACTGCCGTGACGGAAGCTCGAAAGCCGCGCAGATCTGCAAATTGCAGCAAGGCCTATCTTGAGGCAGCGGCTTTGGCACTGTCACAGTCGGAGGCCTGGCGACAGCTCAGAGTAACATCAACAGGAGCGGCATGATCGTGCAGAGCGTTTTGACTCAGGCTGCAGCATGGGAGCTGCTGCGGCACCAGGAGCCCTGAAGACGCGTTAGCAAACCAAATTGTCACATCTTCCGGGTCACCAGTCGGACTAATCTCGACTTCATCCTAGATCGGTTCAGTAGCATATCGGATCTCAGCATCACATGCGCACATGAAAATGTCAACAGTTGTTAGCAGGTTTCAAGGTGGATTGATCAGAGGCCTCTTCGCTGTAAGCAGCATGAACCTGTGTCCTTAGGCGCTGGCTTTGGCTCTGCTGCATTTGCCGGCCTCAAGATCTCAATGTATGTATTCACATCCCTTGCCGACGAGCCTGTGGCTTGGAAGGCGTGCACTCTAAGGCCTGGGCTTAGGCACGGGCGCAGCAGGAGTCCTGCAGGCCCGTGATTTCAGGTGTCAGAAGCTTCAGCTACGGCATGCTGCGGCTTCGCCCTGCTTTGCCTGCCAAGACCAGTAGCAGCTGTGGCCTCGAAGGAGCGCATAGTCTTTTCGCCACAAGCCAAGCCCGCAGTGCTGCCGAGATGCAGGAGGCGCTGGCGCCGCTGGGGGTGCTGCTGGTGCAATGGGTGCTTTGGGTGCGGAGGGTGTGTTTGAAGCCGTCTTGGAGATTGCTGGAGAAGGGGAAGGTGCTGGAGAAGGGGAAGGCTCGGGATTTGCAGCTTGTGTCGTCGCCTTTGGCGGTGTGGGAGGTGCTGGCAAGCTCGGAATCGCCGGAGGCTGGGGAGATGGAGAGGGAGCCGGCTGAGCAGGCTTTGCCGCCCCAGCCGGTGCCACGAAGTTCGCAGTGTCAACAGACCTGATCTGCAAGTCATCCTTGTCGCATGCTGCCCTACGAATATAGTTATTATGGACCGTAGATCAACTCATCCCTTCAGACGTGCTAAGGCCCGCGCGCCGAGGCAGCCCGCTGCAAAGTTGGCTGTGCTATGGCTTCACTTGCTTTGGCGGCAACCGGTGCGGGGGGATCTGCAGGAGGGGGTAGTGGCAATGGAGGATCAGACGAAGACGCCGACGGGGGAGGCTTCGACGTGGCCGCACTAGTGAGGGCCAGTGGTGCGGATGCGGGCGCCATGGTCAGCATGCTGGCAGTTGCTGTGGCAGTCGCTGTGGCCGGCGTGCTAGCCGGCACAGCTAACGTTGCCGCCGCTGTTCCAGTTTTCGGCGGCACTGCTGCGGGTGCAGAAGCCGAAGATGTTGCTGGGGCTACCATAAGGTCTGGGCGGCACCGTTGGAGAAAGGATGCCAGTCCTCCTACGAAGGCCCGTCGAGTCAGGGCAGTGTCACGCTTCTCCGTCGGCTCTTTCTTCTGGAAGCCACCCAACTGGACGGGGGGAGGTTGCTCCACCTTCTCTGCTTCCGCCTTGTCTGCCTTCACCTTCTCTTCCGTCAAACACGGGAGCTTTGCGCGGTCAGCATCCTTTGGGGAGAGCAGCTCGCCCCAAGAAAGCTCGATATTCGAAGGTTCGGTGTTCCTCGGTTTCCGCGGCCGCGTTCTTTCCGTAGCCAAGGAGACCATGAAGCGCCGCCTCTCGTCTTCCGTCTCACATTGAGCAAGTCTCTCCTTCAGCGCTTGCTGATACCTGGGGGACAAGGCTCCCCAACCGGGCACCTCGAGTTCTGGTGCCGCCGGGGGAGTCTCTGGCAATGTGAGCTCTGGTCGCGACACTTCGGTCTGCTGGGGCGTCTGCTGAGTCTGCTGCGGCTCCGGCGGCTCGGGCTCCGACGGCTCTGAGGGCTCCACAAGCTGTGCCGGCTGCGAGACCAAGGCGATTTCGTTGAGGGCTTCGGCTTCGGCCGCCGGTGCAGGTTTAGGACTGGGTGGTTCAGCCTTCGGGCTGGGCGGAGGTGCGGCCTTCGCGACCTCCACTGCTGCAGGCACCTGGAACAAGCCATGCGACGTAGCAAAGCAGGGACCCGATTTTTGCTTTCCACGTGAATCCCCGTCTGCCTGTGCAGGCAGCTTCTTGATGGCATCCTCCACACTGGCCGCCGTCGCTTTGGACACCTCGCAGAAGCGAAGGATGGAAGTGCAGCCCGAAGCCAAGCTTGAACTTGAACCGTCTTCTGAGATCTGCTGTCTCCCTCTCGCCGGAAACCAACAAGTCCCGGCGAGGCCTCAACGGCCATCTGCTGCCGGAACTCCTCGAATGAAGGATTGCTGTCGGGTTGGCTGTCGACCGTGTAATTCTCTTGCCACCGGCCAAGCTGCGACATCATGCTAGACTATGGAAGCTGAAGCCGCTCCGGACCAAAATCACAGAACTTCAAAACGAAAAACCCGCGATGCCGGACCTCGAGGGCTTTCCGCATTTCTCCCATGTCTGGCGAAGGGACTGGCGACGGGGTCGGAGGTGCCGGCACCTTCAGAAGACAAGCTTGTGCGAGCGATCCAGCTTTTTACACTGTCGAATCTTTCCTTACTCTGTGTGCGCGTGGCGTCACCATGTATTTAACGGGTCAGGTCCTGCAAAGATACACCAATCCTGCAAGTAAGACAGCACATACTGCCAATAGATTTCATGTAGACTACTGATATTTGGATGGCTTGGTGATGTGACGAGAAGTGTTCGTAGAAGTAGAGGCAAACTCCTGACCACCTGACATGTCGGCAAAGTTGCGGCCTTCTCGGCTTGAAGCTTCTCGGAGGCTGCCTGGGCTGCTTTCCGAGCAACATCATCGAGGCGATCATCGAGGAGCTTCCTTGCAGCTCACGGTTTGCACGGTTTCGGACTTGTCGTGCGGCTTCCGCTGCGCCCAGTTTTGCAGGTGCAAAAAGGCTCCAACCGGGTTGCTTCCTGCAGGTCGCCGATCCTGGCGAACTAGCCAAAATCCTATCCGCTATCCAGATTATCCAGGTTGCGCGTGGGCCTGCGGTCCATGCGCTTCTCCAACTCGGCTGGATCGAACTCGGCACCTCGTGCGATGCCTTCTGCACTAAGCAGAGTCCAGAGAGTCCCAGGTCGAAAGCCTTTGGATGGTGACGGCGGCGGCGGCTCTGCCTTCCAAGCCAGGCTGCCAAAAGCAGTCCGATTCTACATGCCTCAGCCCAGAGACCTCTCGCGGAGCGGACTTCAACCTTGATCAAGCTCTGGGCACACACACTACAGACAGACAGAGAGCATGCAGTAAGTCAGCCCATCGCTCAGGCTTCGACTGCCCAACATCATCGCGCACCCGTCCAAGATCTTCTGCGACTTGACCCTGCAGTTGCTTCAAGTCCTGGAACTCTCTCCTCAGCAGGAGGCCAAACGCCACAAACACCAAGCGAACCCTGCAACAGGTCAGAGCCTGCTGCGGTGGATCTTACAAGAACTGCTTGCATCCGAACTCACAATCACTCTCCTCTCGAGGTTGTTTTTGCGGCTGAGGTCGCGGCTGTACTTTTTGGAGCTCTGATTTCAGACTGTCTTCGAGACGGTCGTGAAGCTTCTGTGTTGTCCCTTCCACGACCTGCCAGAGAATCAGAGATCAGCGCTGCTTCTGTCTTCCGCGCAGGCGCTGGGCGGCTCCAATGCTTTTGGCCCAGAGCGGCTAGGGCGCTGGTGGCCCGAATTCGAGGTCGAGGCAAAGAGAGCTCCATTGCTGAAGCCACAGCACTAAATTTAAATGAGGAACATGCTGTTTATGATGGTGGTATGGGCTAGCCGAGCCTTTCCGGCAGCAGAGTAAGTCATGAGAACACACCTGTTCAGGACATAGGCCAGGCCTGCAGCCAGAACCACAGAGCCCTGAAAGCGCCAAAGCAAGGAGAAAGTCATGAGCTCGAGCAACCCTAAGTGCCATTCAAATCCCGTTGGCAGGGCCACACCACACACCCGCAGCTCTGCGCCATAAGCAAGCGAAGATGCCCACCCAAGACCGTTGGGGAATGAGGTACCATCTTGGTCTTTGTAGAAGACGGGATGCGGCAAGGCCCCCACTCCTCCTGCGGGGCCAGTCCCCCAGAACCAGTTGAAGCTGCTTCGCACCTGTATGACATCACCGGCTCCCCGCATCACTGCATTCACCATGGCATCCACGAGCAGCTGAACATTGCAACGGTGCTGCGACATCTGCGCTACATCCTGCGAGATCGGCTTGGGCGGATCTCTTCTTCGCACAGTGTCTTGGGTCTGCTGCACTTCAACGAAGACCTTGCCCAGCTCCTGCCGAAAATGCGCCACGTTGCCTCGGATCCCATCCCAACTTTCAACTTTCAACCCACAAAACCATCGTCAATGCCAAATGCTGGCAAACAGACTTCCTAGGCAAATCTAGGCAAGAGCAGTCTAAGAATAAGGAGATTGTGCCGAGGTCGCCATTGGGAAGCTGCACCGCTGTGTCAGGTGCCAAGAACATCTCGAATGTCTGGCAACCATCTGGCGTGAGCCCGCGGTTGAAGCCGATGCCCTTGTCTTCATCGTGCAAGACTCGTTCAAGCCTGGTCAGCTGAGTCCTCACCGTCCTAACCCTCATCCAGCAGTGCAAGAGAAACTACCGCATCCTGAACACTGACCCGACAGTCGGATCTGTGGAACTACCAACCAGATCCGCCGGGAAATGAAACGGATCCGCCATCTGCTGATCCGGACGGATACAACAAAAAGGGGGTATCAGTTCAGACAAACACACCAACTCCAAAAGGAGTGACATGCTTCTCAAAGCCCAAAACCCTTTGAGGAGTGAGTAGTTGGAGTGACTGCTCATGGCTACCATCATCCTCACCCAGAACCTCCACAACACTAAAATGCGTGACCGGTTAAAAACCTCAACCGCTAACTGGAAAATCGATCAGGGGCCAGAATTGTTGGTTCCCAAAGCGAGTGCCCAGTCGTCACGCCCCATAACGTAAACCCTTTTGCATCCGAGCTTGGGAACCGCAAAAACAGTGACTGGTTCCCAAAACCCAAACACGACACGGTGAGCAGCTGCAACAACAAGCAACCAAATTTTCAAAGGCGTGATCTGCTGATTTCGCGGGCAGACTCGCACCCCCGAACGACTGCCTCTCGGCGGGTCCGGACCGATTCGCATTCGCAGAGCTGATTCCGACCCGTTTTGAACACTGCAGAAACTGACACCTGCAGCTGCACGTAAACCAGCCTCACTGTGTGATGTGAGAATAAAGCCGAGCAGGACCAGGCTACGAACTCGCATGTGCTGCGTGCTTGTCTGGTGATTACTTTGATCGTCCGAGCAGCTCTGTGTGGCCCCAGTCCCCACGGCTGCTGGGTGCTTTTCCATGGATATAGTACCCATGAAAAGGCTCGTCCAGAATGAACCTCACCGTATTTCAGGACCTACCTCTGACCTACTTTCAGCACATTGACATACATGCGGCAAGACGCCGGGGGTTGTTCTGAAGCTGCGCAGCAGTGTCTGATGGCAGACTTCGGATCGAAGGTTATTCTGAAACCTACTGGAATTGAGAAGACACGAAGACAAAGCTCACGCTTTAATCTTTGCTACAGAAGACGTTGTTGCTTTACTTTGGAGCAGCGCAACGCAAGACCCACGAGTTCAGATTCTGCAGAAGCACGGAACAAGAAGACAAGTCAAGACGCACTGACACGTTGGCTATCGAACAGACGTCGACAAAGTCGTTGAGGTCGTGACCCAAGAAAATGCTGCCGACGCGCTGCAGGAGGAACTGTAGCGTCAGGACGAAGATCCAGACGCTTACTCCCAAAGCAAACTGCAGGAATGGGTTCAAGTCTGCCGCCAAAGACGAAAGCTCGCTCTCAGTGTGCGTGTTCCATCTCGCCGCACTTACCCAGTTGAAGCCGTCCAGTAGCAACACCACGGACAGCCAGGTTACTTCAGGAACTGCGCGTATGGCGGACAGGCGTTCGTTCAGTTCGTTGCAAACGAATAGGGTCCTCCAGGCAGAGATGCCAGAGTCAGGAATGGCAACTTCCGTGTTGGCATCACTCGGCGGGAAGCCTTGTGCAAAGCCTCCGCTCAGCAGGGGAGCGCCAACCAACTGACTTCCAGGTGCCGGCGGTGCCGGTGGAGCAGGGCCGCCCGGTGGCCCGCCGGGTGGCGGCGGAGGCGGAGGCTGAGACGTCTGGACGGGCGCCTGCGCCATGAGAGTCTCCCGCTCACCGCGAGGCTTTTCCCAGTCAACCAAAAAGAAGAAGACTCGAAGGTGCTTCCACAAACCGAAGCTGACCGTGAAGACCGCCAAGCAAAAGACAAGAACCAGCATGACATCGTGAGCTTCGTATTGCCCGCCTCCCAGTGCCGATGGCAGTAAGAGGAGGGGTACATTCTGCCCCTTGAACATGATTAACCAGAAGAGCGTCATGAAGTACTGGAACCAAAAGAGCAGTGAAGAAGTCGTTGAGCACAGCACCAGCACCTGCAAGACGAGTCTTGGAGCGAAAAGGTGTGGGTCGGGAAAGACTGGCACATTCGGATATCGCTGAGAAAGGAGACACAGTCGGAATGTCACCAGCCCCAGTAGGGAGAACAATAGGAGCACGAAAAGGATCGTGACGGCAGTCCAGTAGCCAGATGTGTCCATTGTGTACTCTGCAGCAAAGCTGCCTGGAAGAGTGGTGTCCTCCTGCAGGTTGTCAGTCCTCTTCTCGGCATATGCAATGCTGACGACCGGCACATAGACCTGGCCGTCTCCCTCGGGACGCACTCGCACCTGCACTGCCAGATGCGCTGCCCAGCGGACCACTCGCAGGTACCCGGCCTTCGACAGATAGGCCTGGCCTGGCCCTCCCGGGCCGCTCTCGCGCCCGGACACGGCGTCGCAGAGGAGGAAGCGACGGACCAAGACGTCGTTCTCGCCGTCTCCTCCTTTCTCTCCCAAGTTGGGGCGTTGCCCGTTTTGGACGAGGTTCAAAATGCGAACCGGCACTGGCACCAGGATGCCATCTGTGTTCTCGACAAATAAGTCGTAGAGAACTGGGTTGGCGCCGCAGTCCAGAACACTGCGAGCCAGGATGTTACACTGTGAGCGGAGTGAGCTTCCAAAGCGGCGCCAGGCCGATGGAAGGCTTCTTGGCTTTGCGGAGGTGGAGACAAAGCTGGCACATGGATCCAGTTGCGACTCCAGCTTCGTCCATCCGAGCCAAGACCCCTCCAGGGAATATGAGGCCAGCCAGAACACCAAAACGTCTGCGAAAGTGTATCTCCAGTTCAGGCTTGCGTCCTGGAGCGTCTGCACGGGCCGCTGGGGGCTGTAGTAGAGCCAGGGCATGTCTTCTACTGCAGAGGTGCCTTCCACCCGAGGCTTGCCCTGGTACAGATCCAGAACGAGGTTGCAGACAGTTGCTTGGTCGTCGTAAAGCTGCAGTACGCAAAGGTTGGAAATGCACTGGCAAGCCGTGGCATTGCCGCGAAGGCAGCCGATGCCGCATCGGATGTATAGCCATTGCAGCGCTGCACTCGTCACTCGCACATCCTGCCCTGCAGAGTCCAAGCTCAGAGTCTGCAGGGTGCTCCCTGTCCGAGCCTCGATCCCCAAGAACTGCCCGAAAGGGCCACTCTGCCACCAGCTCTCACGACCATCGATCAAATCCCGGAACTCGACGATGACGGCAGGAGTCTCCGGGAATCGGTCGTTGATCTCGTTGAACTCGGCCGCACTGACGCAAGACCCACCTGCCTCCAAATAGCCGTCATTCGTCGTACCCTGCCGGCAGATGCACCGGCCAGTGGATGCCTGCCGATACATTCGCTGAAAGTCCGGACACGGATTGCAGTCGTAATTGGGGAGTGGCTCGGACGTAGGACTGAAGAGAATCCCTTCTGCGCACTTCACGCATGTTTTGCGAAGCTGGTAGGAGCCATTGCTAGTGCGCTCTTTTAGGGCGCTGCCCTCTGGACAAACGCAGTCACCCCACCTGTCTGAGTAGCCTGCTGTGGTCTCTGGGTCAGTCTGATCAACAAGGCAGGGCAAACAGCGCATTCGGTCTTGTGTTGGAGCCGTGGGCTGTCCGTCACTCGCCAGCGGGCACTGCCGACATTGGAAGGGCCCCTGTGCCACGAAGCTCGACAAACTGGCTCCCAAAGCACTGGTATTGAGGTCGTTCGGATTCGCAGCGAAACACTCGTCGCCGCCATCGCACTGAACAAAGCCGTTTAGGCACTGGCACTGGTCGGTCCCCAGCCGCTCTAGTTCCCGACCAAGGATCGCTACGTCTGCTTGCGGGGATGCGGTCCGGACCAGCCGTGCCTGGCCATCAATCTCTGTACAGCTTGCACACTGCAAGCGCACGGCGTCGAAGTACTGACCGGACTCCAAGCAGGATCGGGATGGGTCAATTTGCCCTGCAGCTCTCAATGACAGGGAAAGCAACACGCCGAAGCCCAGGAGGGACGAGCCGTGCTGCGACATGGCAAAAGCATTCACGGTTCGGTCGGCAGACAGGGCTATGGAGATGCATCCGACTGCTCATGAGGGTCAATATGGTCAATGTAATACCCCGAGCTACTCGCAGAGAGATCAATGCAAGTTACGCTGCTGCTTGGCCCTTGGATTTCGCCCCGCGTTCCGGCATATCAAACACACTGACACACACGAGCACGTACTTTCGGGAGCATGTCATGTTTCTGTTCTATCGGCTGGTGGCCAAAGAAGCTACAGATCGCCAGTCCAGAACCACAATGAATGAGTTGCACCATGCGATGCAACAAGCAATTTGATCTCAAGGCCTACTTACAGGCTGCAACAAGCGCTGGTTCGCCTTTTCATGCGGTCGCGAGCTGAAACGATTATGCCTTCGCTTGCCACGGTAGTGTGGCAAAGCTCCGAGGTGCTCCGAGCTCGTTCTCGGGATCAGGACTGCATCAGTTGGCGCCTCGAGCGAGGGCCTGACAAACAAGTGTCTTTGCCCTGGTGGCATTCATCATCTTCGTCGCCGTCAACGTCAACAGCAACGAACAACAACAACCACAACCGCAACCACATTCACAACAGAACTACAACCACAACCACAACCAAAACCGTGCCAACAACGACAACCACAACCACAAGAACAACAACAAGAACAAGAGCGGCAACGACAAGCACAGTCACAGCCGTCCCTGGGTGTCTTGTCCAGGGGTTGAAACGCTTTTGTACATACAAGATGTAAGGCGGGAGAAAAACACTGAGGCACAGTCGGCTCGCCATCCGCTAGCTTCGCAACACCTGGTGTCAACCAAACACTGCTCCTTTCGCCGCGCGGAAAAGTGGAAATCCTACTCCTTACCTTCAGCCCTTCCAGAACTTGCTGTCGCAAGGAGGCCCGGGAATTGGGACCCGGCAGTTCACAGAGGCGCGAGGCCCCGCTGCAGTCTCAAATGGCGCAAGCAGAAGGACGTCCTTGACGCTTCGCAAACGAGCTCGTTGCAAACCTGTAGTTGCGCCCGAAGCCTGGCTAGCACAGCTAGAATGCCTTCCGTGATCCGTAGCGGCAACAACCACAACAATGACAACAAAAAGAAGAAGAACGAGAACAAAAGCAAGAACAATAAACAGCACCATCAGCAGCAGCTGCTGCCGCTGCAACAGCAAAAACAGAAACAGAAAGAACGACAGCAGCATGATGGCCTCTGCTGCCGCCAACACGAACCAACTCACCGCCACCCACCAACACCACCACCATCACCACCTCAGCAACAGCAGAACCATCATCAACTTCTGTACCCGCCGACTTCCTGAAGAGAGTCACATCCTCAAGCTTGCCCGTACAAACGGAGCTGTGAATATCGGTGTGCCTGAGCTGGCTTTGGCCGCAAGCCGCATTGCCCACAGGTCTTGGCACAGTTGAGCTGCGCCCAGAACTTCTCGCAGGCCTCTGACAGCGTCTGTCCTGTCGGAATCTGTCGGATGTCTGCACCCTGCCATGTAAAGCAAGTGGTACAGTCACGAAGCATGATTTGGGTGGACGAGACAATGGATCGATGGTAACCTCCATGGAGAGCGCCCCAGTCTTGATTTCTCGACCACAGCTCACACGCTGATGTTGCGTTGTCCGTCCAGTCCGGTAGCCATGTGTCCTGAGCTGCCCCGGAACGCACGGCAATCTCACCGCTTTCCAACCGCTGCTCTCGCAATCATTCGCTATCAGCTTCAAATTTGGCATGCACGCACCGTCAACGTCACAACCACGTCACAACCTAATTTCCCCCCATTGCCCTACACCTTCCACGCATCTGAACACTAATCACTGTGAGGACCCGAATCGCAGTTTTAGCTGCTCAGCCACGGCACAGCACATCCTGCCACCTGGCGTGCAGCGACAGCACGGCCTGCACAGGAGCTTTGGCCTGTTGACCAACTGGAGAGAGCTGGAGCTAAGCAGGCACAACGTAGCAATAGCAATGCAAGCCGCCCTGCAGCGGGCGGCGGAAGAGCTTCCATTCGTGGCTGGTCTCGATCGCTGACACACAGCTCTCCTTTCGCGAGGCTCAGGCCGGGTGCCCAAGATCATTGCGGAAATTGCCAATTGCCACCAGGCTGCAAAGCTTATGCAGCGCTCTGGGTGCAGGTCGGCCCTGCACAGGAAAAACGATAATGAGCACTTCGTTTTGGTGCTCTGGCGCCCGCGCTGCCTGTGAGCATAGAAGCTGTGGTTGAGATTCTCCGCAAATTGCTGACATGCTTCTCTCGAAGTCACATACCTTCAGCGGAGGGCACCGAAAGCTGTGAGAGCACACGGCTTGCAAATCAGTCCAAGGGTGGATGAGACGGGCTCTTGAAATCTTTGCCCTGAGCAGCTTCACGAACTTGGCAATCGGATCGCAGAATCGTTGTGAAAACATCACCGGAGAAGCTGGTGCCAAGATGCAGGAATGGGGAGGAGTAGCACAGAACTCCGGACCTCGATGAATGAGATTACCATCAATCTCTTGCGGAAACGAGAAGCTCACGATAGACTGATAAAATATCTGATAGACATGATCTCCGCGTCTCAACTCACTTGGGAACTTCTGTCACTCTGCAGTGCGGCTTCGTGGCCCGAACTCTGGCCAGGAAGGAACCTTGCTGTCAAAGCCTCCAAGAAGCGCTCTCTGCGCGGCAGTCGTGGTAAAATCAGCAACGAAAACACGCGCCATGCAAACCTTGCCCACCGTTCTGGGCCGCCGCTTGATGTCTCACCTTGGCGTGGGACACATCACTGACTTACTGGGAAAGTCACCAGCACAGACCCCGAACAAGAGCACCTGGCAGTCCAAACCCTACATAAATCATCATAAATCCAAAACCGATTCCAGGAGCACCCCCAGGGCACCCGATCAGTCCGAAACACGCACGACACTGCGGCGACCGGCGCAAGCACGGTTGCCATCCCAGAACAAGCTCAGCCTGGAACCCACAGCCTCTTATATGGGACTTGTCTGTTTCGTAGTTAATATTACACTACTAACTGCCAGCGACTACACCGACGACTACTACCACCACCACCACCACCACCACGACGACCCCGACCCCGACCCGGACCCCCACCGCGACCGCGACCGCCGCGACCGCCGCTGCTACTGCTACTGCTACTGCTACTGCTACTGCTACTGCTACTGCTACTGCTACTGCTACTGCTACTACTGCTGCTACTACTACTACTACTGCTACTACTACGACGACGACTACCACTACCGCTACAGCTACCGCTACCGCTACCGCTACCACTACTACTACTACTACTACCACCACCACGACTACTACTACTACTACTACAGTACTACTACTACTACTACTACTACTACTACTACTACTACTACTACTACTACTACTACTACTACTACTACTACTACTACTACTACTACTCCTGCTGCTGCTGCTGCTGCTGCTGCTGCTGCTGCTGCTGCTGCTGCTGCTGCTGCTGCTGCTGCTGCTGCTGCTGCTGCTGCTGCTGCTAGTGCGGCTACTACTTCTACTACTTCTACTATTTCTACCACTACCAGGGCCCGAGTCGCCCGCTGATGGATCGAGAACCCTAAGTACCGTGGAGCATTGCCATTGGCCGTGGGACCTGGGAGACGGTACGCCCGGAGATGGGAATCGGAATGGCACGCTCATGCTGTCGAGAATCGCTGCGACACATGTGGCGATTTGCAGTAGCCGTCGTACGAGGAGGTAGCTCGTGGCTATGCCTCTGGTGATTCCTGCCCTTGTAACATTCCGGGCGATACACTGCGTTGCAGTGGTTGAGGTGGTGGCAAAGTCACACGCCGCTGCTCAGGTGGATGCCAGAATGGGGAGCGTGCTTGTACAAGTTTCAGGGGCCCAGATCGCCACAAGCGACTTTCCACACAGTTGCATGATGACTTTGACTATACGGCTCGCTGGCGTGGGTCATGGGAGCCGCTAGTGGATGTCGGAACGGGTTTGGTCCAACAATCAGATGTGCGGTATGATAGCCCTACTACAGGAAACACATTCTGGGTGACATCGGCAATACTTACTGGGAGCTGTTCTGCCTCCAGCACGGCGTCGCTTTTCCCCAGCTTTTCCTTTTAGCTACAGCTACTACTACTACTCCTCCTCCTCCTCCTGCTGCTTCTGCTGCTACTACTGCTACTGCTACTACTGCTACCACCACTACTACTGCGGCTACTGCTGCTGCTGCTACTGCAACTGCAACGGCTACTACTGCTACTACTGCTACTGCAACTGCTACTGCTGCTGCTTCTGCTACTACTCCTGCTACTACTTTTACTTCTACTACTACTTCTACTTCTACTTCCTACTTCCCACTTCCTACTTCCTACTTTTAGCAGTGCAGGCGTACTCCCTTCTTCCTACTTTCTATTTTCTACTTCTGCTTCTACTCTACATGCGACGTACGTGCTACCTACTGGTTACCTGCTACTCCGGCTGCTCCTCCTGCTCCTCCTACCCCTTCTCCTGCTCCTCCTTCTCCTTCTCCTGCTGCCGCTCTGCTGCACAATAAACATCTGCAAAACAAGTATGAGCAATAGCTAGGGCCGGGACATCCTCCGCAAGTGAGCATGGCCACGCCAAGAGAAAGGCCACAGCGGCTAGGGACTGTGACCTGGTGCAGCTCAGCTACAGAAGCCTGCCGTAAGGCCAAGACGAGAGGGCCGAGCTGTCTTTTCATCGCCTTTCTGCTCCATGCAGGAGGCAGCCCATGTCATCAGGTCTGGATGCCAAGTCTAAGTGGTGTTGCTACGCTATAACCAGAGTGTATGCGCTTGCATCCCATACCTGTCGGAACGCGGCGAGCCGCGGCAGGCCTTGAAAAAAGAGGGCTGCGGCCAAACACCAGTGCAGTCAAGCGTGGTGCAGTTCGGAAAGGTCAAGCATCCCGGCTCTATAACCCCAAGATCGTGGGCCACTTCTGGCAGTTTGCAGAGAAGTGTGCACTTCTCACACCTTCCTGACTGGTTCCGGTGCGAGGTCTGCGGTCTTGTGCAACGGTTTGAGCCCGCGGCTGTGCGGTGAGGGCTGCGCGGCACTTGAGTGCATGTAGGTGGTATCTTTTGGGCAGTTTCGGTGCATGTCTCTGGTTCTGCACTTGTGTGACTGCTGTCGTGGGGTTGTCGGTTGTGAGTAGTTGGAGGTGGTCTCCTTTTGAAGGCTTTTGTGGTAGTGAAGCTTCTTGCATGTTGGCTTCGTGTTGGATGTAGACTCAGTTTTTCGTCAGCGCTCGCCGGGTCCACGGCTGATGGGAAATCCAGGCTACTTGTGTTGCTGGTTGGTTGGTGCGCTTTCCCTGGTGGCTGACGCCTCTCTTACCCAGACTTGAGGATCCCCCTTGTCTTCCCTGTGCGAGTTGTGACAATCGAAAACCGACCTGAACCCTGTAGCACAAGTGCCAAGACAAAAATCGTGGAGCCTCCGAGATGTCCGCCGCTTCGAGGCCTGTGACACCAAGCTTCATCAGAGCAACGCTTCGATGTTGCGAAAATCCATCTGTGTCAGCCTGGACAACAATAAAGCCAGAGAGAACCTAGCAGTCCTAACCCTGTCAGGATCCCAGACCCCTTCTGAACAGTTCTGAAAGGCGGGATTTCGAGACCTCAGTACGAACCGAGGAACCGAACGGCACACACACCCCTGAGCCAAAATGTACTTGCACCGTGGTGGGAGCGCGACCTCCTTCCGAAACATCACCGCCTTCTTGCAGAAGCACGACAAAGTCGCGAGTCGTGAGTGCAAGAGCATTTGACTTCAAAGTGTCCCCGGACGGAGCGAACGCGATTTCCCTCGCAAAAGCGAAAACGGCGACAAACGAGCCGCGGAACCGCCAGCAAGCTCACTCTCGCTCTCGCGCCCAAGAAGAAAATCGCCTGACCCTCAAAGCTCCCTTTAAGGGGAAGAAAGCGCCTGCACTCCTTGCCGGGCTGGGCTCCGCAAACTCGTGAGGCACGGGTGACGGAGCCTTCTCTGGGACCTGGGCACAATTCACCACTGCAAGAGTCACTGCAGATTTTTCGAAGTCGATCGGGTCTTTGCTTGCTAGCACGAGACGCGGGCTCTGATCGGGAAGGCATCCGCCATGTGCCTCCGCATCAAATGCTCATTGAGGTACTGCTCTGACCTGACGTCATGCTGAGATAAGCCATAGCTCGAGGCGAGCGCAACTGCAACTGCAGAAAAAAGCAGTGCAAGCTGCTGTGTCAATGCGTCAATGTCTTATAGCCAACAGCATCTAAGCTCTTTCCGGGCCGTCGGGCTGAAAGCGCTTGGAGCAGTATGTGCACTTTCGAGCCACTGCCTGAGCTCCGTGGAGAACGGGAGATATCTGCATACTTTATTAGATGTCCAAGTATTTATGGCCAACGAAGAAGTAGTCAAGAAGACTCCAAACTGATACTCAAACTTCTGACCTTGTCGGTTCTCCTGCTGCGCATTTCACATTCGATACATACATACATTTTTGTCACTCGCACTCGACGAATCAGACATACATGCACGCAGGCACGCACGCACGCACGCGTGCATGCACTCACCCACCCCTAGACAAAAGCGCACACAAACACAGAGGCTCGGTCGGGTCAACTCGCATGGTTCACAGTAACATGGGTGAATCTACAGGGCTATATATTAATTAGCCTGAAGAAGCGGCAACGATGAGCAACGACTTCCATGGGAACATGACGCATCTTGACAGCAGCCGCAAGCATTTCTACGAGCTGTAAAGCCGGAAACCCTGTTTGCGCAAACACACACACATGCCAGACGCAGCCGAACCCTTGCAAAATCTTCTGCCGCTGGCCATCGCTCCGAGGTGCTGACACCCACAGGAGGCCCGCGAGATTCCCTCGGTGAGTTGCGACGCGGCCTGTTTCGTCTAACACTGCGGACTGATTTGAGGCGAGGCCTGTGAAGAGTCAAGCTGAGAGCTCTGAACAAGGCTTGGAGTTTGAAGCGACTACTTGACAAACCGTGGTCCTGCTGCGTCGGCGGCCAGCATCAGTGGCCTTCAACTGTGCCGCCTGACTCTGCACGTGATAGCGTCCGAGAAGTGGCTCTGACACACTTCGAGCATCCCGCCTGGATGCGAACGCGCTCAGAGAGGCCCTGGACTCCGCAGGCAGAGAAATACTGCACATTCTGTTTTTATATGAAGGGAAGAAAAAGACCGTGTAAAGTGTGCGACAGCGAAGCCCTTGTTGAACTTAGGTCCGCCTGGATGAGTTGCTGTGAGGATGCGCACATCGAGTTCAGGTACTCCATGCACAGCTGAGCCAGCTGCACGACCTGACACCGTCTAATTAACCATTCGGGTTCCTTTGCATCCTTCTCCGAGCCGGGATTCAAGACCGAGGATTTGGCTGACGTTGTGTGGCATCACTAAGCTTGCATTGTCAAAAGGGAGTCCATGCCCTGAAGCCGTCGAAACCCGGCCTTGATGAGGCCATCATCACTGGTGACCTCCAAATCCTCGCGGCTGAACCGAGAGTAGGTGATGTTGTCAAGGTACGCCTCGCGAGCAACTCACAGTCTCCTCGCCACGAGAAAAGCCGCGAGACAGGGTTGCAGGAATTCCTTTCATGCCTGGCTGTATGACTTCCGGGCTCTGCCACACAGACACAGGACTACAAGATCTGCAGCAATCCCCGTCCGGCAGGTAGCTTTTGTGCCAATCCCTCGGCCTGAATGGTGTCAATATCACCTTCACGTACTACTCTGTCAAGGTCCAGAGAATGCAGCAGCCGCCAGTTGATACCTGGAACAGCGAGAGACCGTGAGCATGCAGTGGCGTTTGCTGCGCCTGTGCGTGCGCTGGGGCATCCCTGTCCCTGTCGAGAGTTGCAACTGGGCACGTCCTGTACGAGGCCGAAAGATGAACTTCGGGAAAGACCTGAAAATCCAACGCGAGTGTCAGTGGCAGGCAGGACGGATCAAACCCTCTACCGATTCCATCTTGGCTAGAACGACCCTGGCTGTCTGCGCAAGCTTGGCGCCCCTGGCGTGAACTTGTGCCCGAGGCTCGGATATGGGCCTGGATTGAACGTGCAACGGCGTAAGTCCCCGGTATACCCCGGTCTGGCCCCGGGCTCAAGCCTTCTGCATCCTTCAGCAACTCGTCAGCTGCAGGCAGCACCTCTTCAAACTATCGTGGATAATTTCAATTCAAAACAGCTGCTGTTCTTTCTGCTTTAGCTCAGGCACAGTCCGCAGCAGCCCAACCCCCGAGGTCAAAGGGTGACCTGCATACTCTCAGATTATCATAGATTATCAGGACATGGCCACACGGAGGATGGAAAGCAGCTTTTTGGAATGCGCGAGCATGCTGACGCTGAGAGCTGTCGGGTGGAATACCGGACTGTGAGCATAGTGGTGTGAGGTGCCGCAAATGTCAGCCTTCAAAATGTAAAAGCTGCGTCAGTTGCGTGGGGCGAGTAACTGGCGAGCAGCGCTTTGGTGGACACTACAGCCTCACTTTGCAGAGCCTGCGCGGATCGCTTGAATCCCAGGAGAGGCCAGAGACCCTGTTATTCAGCCCGCTTCGAAGATTGGCCCATGATGTCAACAAGGTTTTGGACAGACCTTGAAGGAGCACGTCTTGAACTCAAGTTCGATGTATTCGACGGTGGTCTTGCTGAAATCCGATCATAATCCCACTGGTCACCTCTTCGTGGCCCGAAGTCCTTGGGTCCTTAGTACTCCGAGCTTCCACCATCTCATAAGAGCACCAACACGTCCAATGCTGCGCGATCGGTTCCAAGGGAGTGCTTGGTGAGAACCGACTCTTCCAGTCGAGTAAGTTCCGCTGACACCACACATAACATGTGCCGTTTCTCTGCACTGCAAACTTTGCAAGAGAGTCCGAGCATCGCCGTGTGTCATCTTCTGTCAAGACCCGGACACGTTAGGTCGCCGAGCTCCGCGATGACTGGCCGGCTGCATCATCTGCAGCCTGGAGGTAAGCATCGCGATCAGATGTCACACCCAAAGCGAAGTCGTTGGATGCCTTCAGGAACTTTGCCAGGTTGCGGCCGGTGTAGACTACTGCGTCCCGCTCCTCGACGGAGAAAGCCCGGAAGCCGTGCAGCTTGAATAGCAAAGAGAAGGCGGTTTGATCGTCGTTGTTGTTTCGAAACGATGGATATTCAGGATAGCCCAGAATGGATGGCTCTTCGGTCATGATTCGTCGGTCCTCACAAGCGGCCAGCCACGTCTCCAGGAACGAGACTGCCAAGCGTGTTTTTCGTACAAGGATGATACCCGTTGCAATCTGATTCGTCTCCATGATGCTAGGAAAATCAGCGTCCAGCAGAACAAAGGCATCTCGCTTAGAAAAGTCCCCCTCGTTCATCGGAGTCCTGATCGCAGCGATTCGCCGCATTAGCCATATCACTCAGAATCCAAATCCTTACATTGCTGAATTTCAGTCGCAGAGGCCGCTGGTCCTTGTCGCAGCAACATCCGAGTCGCGCAAAAACTCGTGAATGAGCGGCCGCATGTCGCCTGGAAGTACAGGGTACAGACAAGCTCATCGCGAGACCCGGAAACACACACACACACACACACACCTATCCTGTGAGCAGCGAGTCACTGACAAAATGAATTCCTGCATCTGTCCAGACCACAGCTGTCGTCTCCCATGGCAGTGAAGGGTCAAGTAGAGTTCGGAGTACGACATAAGGCTTCCTGGATCAGTAGACACGATGCACTTACAGCAACTCGCTATAACAGCTGGCCGACATTATGTGAAGAAAACCTTCCGGGGCCAAGCGTCCAAACGTAATACCCAACTTTGCCCGACGGAGTCTTGTGTTGAGTGAGCTCCGGTGTGCGGTTGAAGTTCAGCAGAACCTGCCATGGGTTTTTGTTCGCTGGGGTCATGTTGGTGCAGCTCTTCGTGATCCAGCCTCGTTCTTCCGCCGGAAGGCATCATCCAAAAAATCACCTGCAACATTCTCTTTATCACTTCGCGCTTCCTGACACCGTTTGTGGCCTGCTACACACAGTCTACACTACACCTTGCACACACGGTATCTCTGGAAGAGGCTACCTGCTACATACAGCGCCTTATAGAATCTACGAAGCGAGAACTGCATCGACTACAACTCCCCGGTGGCCCGGCTCCCCGGCACCTCGCAGCGGCCGGCTCTCCGACGCGCCGAAGCGCAGCGCCGACTCGGAGCTTTGAGCCTCCGAACTCCGAACCACAGAAAGCGAGGGCTCCAGCTCGCGGACCTACCTTCTCCCGCCTGCTCCCGCTCACAGCAGCCATCCGCAAAATTCACATGAACGATCCGCGTCGCGGGAGTTGCATTGCAGCCTCCAGGAAACAAGCAGGATTTGCCATGCCCGACCGCTTACTTGACAATATAGAAATGCTGAGGGGGCCTAGATGGCGGCAGACCTTCACGAAGCTCCACTCCTCAGTGTGTAGACATTGCTGCATATTGAAGCGAGAAACAACAGCCTCAACATTGGCCGGATCTCCTCAGTCGGAGATGGTGCTAGGAAGGGCAAGCCCTTCCGAAGTGTGCAGGTCTCCCTGTCGCCATCGGCAGCTTCACAGGTGATGCCTTTGCCTTAGTCTGACAGGCAATCGTGCATCAGCTTGGGGGGCGGTATCTTGGTAAGTAGCATGCATCACGTCTAACTGGCGATCCCAGCTACAGGCTCCGCCAAGGTGAAGGCACTTGCAAAGCGCCGTCTCCACTTTCTGGAACGTTTCCTTAGTTGGATTCCTCTGAGCTTTCGTGCCGGTGTGCCTGAGAGCCTGTGAACTCTGGCCTTGAGAGAAGGTGTCTGGGCAGTCTTTCCGCCTAGAATCCTCGGCAGAATCAGCAAAGCCGCCCAAATATGCCTCTTGCGCCTGTGCGGGAGCTTGTGTGGGACCGAACGGTTCCAAATTCCAAGCATGCCTTCGCCCCACCCCCACCCCACCAGCAGCTTGACAGAACAGCGATCAAACTGCTATCAGACCCAGTCGCGTAGTGCCAGGAACATGGCTCTTCTGCCGAGCCCTCTTCATGACGGCGGTAGGAGCCTGATCCAAAGATTCACTACTTGGCGGAATGGGGAGGAATGCTTTTGAAAGTGCACGGGTCAGGACTGTTGTTGCTGCCATGCTGCGGTCTGTCGCCCGTCTTGGAGACATGGTCTTCCGAGCATTCAGTATAATCTGATGGATCTCTTGAGAATTCCCTGTCCGCAGAGTTTCCTGCGGAAAGCCAGGGCATGCGAAACGTTTGGCATTGCAAACACTTGTGGCAAAGGCATCCAGTGCAACCAAGTTTCCAGCAAGTACAGGCGGTCGGCTTCCGGCAGGAAGCCGCTGATTTCGAAGGAGGCAACACTCTCAAACTCTCCGAACCAACCCTCGCTGCTTACAAACTTTTGTTCTGCGTCCAGCTCGCCCAAGACAATGCGAGGCATGCCCTGGGCAGGTTCACCGCGACTTGCCCATATTCTTTAGACTAGCATCCTGGCCTAACCCATTTCTGTGGAGATTGTTCTGCTCCGACAACTCCCTTACACTGCACAGAGACTCATGCTTGGAGCTACCACTGGCAAGCTAGGGCACAGGAGGCACTGCTTGTTTCTGTATAACAAATGTATGTATGCATGCATGTATATATGCGTGTATGGATATGCGTATGCAGATGTATACGTATATATGTATGTGTACATGTGTACACGCAGAAAATGCGCAGAACTATCGTCGTCATCAGCAGTTCGTAATTGATGCATCGCTGTTGCTCTTGCTCTCGCTCTCGTTGTGGCTCTTAGTATTGTTAGTGTGCCGGTTGCTGTTCTTCGCCTGATGTTGTTGACTGCGGTTGCTTGCTTGATTGCTTGCTTGGCTTGTTGTTTGTTTGGTTGTTTTGTCGCTTGCTTCTTTGTTTGACTGATCATTTGTTTACTTGCTTGCTTGCTTGTTTGTTTGATTGTGTGTTTGTAAGCTTCTTTGGTATATATGTGTGTGTGTTATATGTGTGTGTTGTGTATACACACATACATTCATTCATACATACAACACATGCAAGCTCACTTACTTACTTCGATATAATTATATAATAATACACCTAAACTTAAGGAGACCAGACCTTTACTTGCGCTTGGGGGGCCCTTTGCCTCGGAAGGTGGCAGCATGGACACCGACGGCACCACGTCTTGGCGGTCCGGAAAGACCATGAACTGAAGGCCGCCTCAGTTTCTAAAGAGGGGGTTGAGTCTTTTCTCCCTCCTGCAATCCTCAGAAAAATTCTAGGGTTGAGGATTTTGAAGGCCCTTTTCCGTCTGGCAGCCTACCCGTCAGGAAGCCAACCGTACTTGAGGCACTTCACCAGAGGGAAGAAACTAACACGTTTTGGGGTTTGAGTGCTCAAGTCCGCTGTGCACTGGGCAGTGTACTCCGTCCCTGAACGCCGTACTTCCAGGGTGGAGGATGGTTGAGGGTCGAGAAGGGCCATTTAATGCCTCGTCGCGTGCCTCATGCGCAAAGGGAAAGGTGCAAAGCCAAAGAAGAAAGGTCCGTAGCCATGCTACAGATGCCTCAGTCGGCCTCACAGGCACAGGGAAGAGCTTCGCCAAAGTAGTTGAGTGAATGCTGAATTAAATCGCTCGACTCACGACTTGCCCGATGCCTGATGAAGATCAGGGTGGGCTTCACCAAGAAGGCCGCATAGAACTCATCCGCCAAGTAAAGGTCCGCTTTGCCAGGAGCAAGGCAAAAGTACTGACAGGACTCGCGGTATCTGGGAGGACCCAGTTGGCCGAGAGCTGCTGACGGCAGCCACTGAAAAGGATCTTGAAGGAACACCACATGGAAATCGAACCACAACACGGGCAAACCAAGCTGGAGCCCGATGTAAATGGAGAGATACTGGGCCCTCTGTTGAAATCGTGACAGAAATGGCAGACAGGGAGACCAATCCTCTGGCATCGTAGACCGCGCCGCGTAGACTTCTACAATCTTGGAGCATGACTCCGTGACATTCGGCTCGAGCGGCACAATGACGAGAGGAGCTAAGTAGCCAATCTTGTCGGCATGCTTGAAAAGGTCCAGCAGGTGACCCACTCTTTGATGCGGCAGACCTACACGGAAGAGAGAGGATTTGGGAGCTTTTAAGGGTGAACCCACGCACACCACGGGCGCCGCAAGCAATAGATTCAGGCATTCGTGGCCTGTCAGCACCACCACGGACGTGCCGCGTGCCCTCTGGCTGCGCTCAGCAGCGCTTCGCAGTGTGTTCGCACTGCGGGTCCAGATATCCGAGTGCCCAGCGACACCACTTGCCTGAAGCTGCAACAAATCACAGTACCATAGACCTGGCCCGACCTGGTCCGCCTCCAAGTCCTGCGGAGAGAGCTGCAGATCGTGGAAGGTTCTCTTCATGAGGCCTCAGGACACCCTCCCTTTACGATGATCCAATGCCCGTGAATGTGGGGACAAGGCACATGGTACCCTTGGAAACTTGCGCGTACGACTGGGATGAACGTAAAAGCTGGCCAATGACGTCAAGCTTCTCATCGCATGCAAGACCTGGCACGAGAGGCGTGCAGTTTGTAAGGAACGCTATCTCCCACCCACTTAGACAGCGGTTATGCTGATGTGCCCATTCTCAAGATCGGTCTGTTGAGCCTCACATTAGCTGCCACTTCTATGCGTGGCTTTCCCTTGCTTTAGCCGACCTTCGCCACGGACACAGTACAAAGACGAGCTCCAGAGCCCGGAGCTGTGTGAGGAGCATGCTTGTCACACACTTGACAGCAGAGCGAGTTGGCGAATGTGAATAATGCCCTGCTCCTTGTATGCTGTTGCGAACTGGTTGTCAAGCCAGTCGTACTCGAGAGGGCAACATACGGGAAGTAAGGTGAGGGGAGGGCGGTACCCACCCTGCCGACGCTTAGATCCCTTGATGTATCAGGACCAAGGGCTCTGGACTCTTTTCCGGCGCAAAACCAAATTCTGTAAGCAGCAACTCTCGCAAGCCCCAACAAGCTAGCTCCGTGATAAGAGTGTGCTAGATTGTGGAAAGCGGCGCATCTCCAAACAACACAGTTCTGCCGGTCTTCTGGTTCTTGGCAAACCTCCCCTCAGACCAAAGCCCCCCAGACTGCTGACCGTCTGCAGCTCAAGCAACCTAACCTGCGGGCCTTGAAGATCGGCCAGGGCGACTCCAAGATTCCTTCCAATGAGGCCATCGCCTTGGGGGCGGCTTGTCTTGTGTTAGAAAGTTCGGTCAACGAAGTTGCGAAGGCTAGTGGCGGACTCCGCCGTCTCGATCGCGCGCTGGACGATACGGTACCTCAGCAACGAGGCTGAGGAAGTGAGCTTTGCCCTACCTTGGGACGATCCAAAAAGCAGAGAAGGAGTCTGTGCTTTCAGCTCTGCTCATGCTGCATGGCCAAGCGGCACATCCACATGACCAAGAACCAGGCCAGCTGCCCGCACAGCATAAGCTGCCAGGATCCCGAGCGGACACATGGCTGTCCACTCAGCTATTCTACGACCTCTCGAGCACAAAGCACTGACCTCATGACTTGTGAAATTCTCCCGGTGCCTTCTGCAATCGCACCCGACGAAGATTTCCAAACAACACCTGGGCATCCTACGCTTCTGAGGCCAAGTGTAAACCATCGCAGACTATCGTGCCATGCTGTGCATCTTTGTGCAGGCTCTGGCTTCGGCATTCGAAAACATAGAACCCAAACCGCATGCACCCGTCTCAGAGTGTGCGCTCTGCAGTGTTAGTCGCGATTTGCCTCCAACCGTTCTTCTTCCGAAGTTCTCGAAGCATGTTTTTTCCGAAGCAATGGAGCAATGCATCTCTAGAAACCTAGGACTCTAGGATGTTCACATGCCCTGAACCTGAGCATCCTGTTGACGACTTGCATACCTTAGAAACTCTGCAATTGGCCCAGCGGTTTGCCGTTGTTTACAATGCGAGTATGTCCGACGGAAAGCTAGCCACCAGCCAGCAGCCTGCTGATCCCCCCAAAAATCTCGAATCCCCATTTGTCTGCCACCTTGCGGCCATTGGCTTCTGCTGTAGCAGTGTCCAGAATTGCTGGTGGATCCTCGCGACAAGAAAAAACAACGAAAGATTTATGGGTGGTTGATTCAGGACTTAACAGTGACAGTAGGGCCTGCATAGCGCAACCCACGGACAAGCTGCGGCGTCCTCAAAGTCGCCCTGGAGCCACGAAGCAGCAACTTCAGCGTATGCGGTGACCTGTGCGGAACAGAGGCCAGGCTAGCGCCCTCGGAGAGCCGCCCTGCCCCGTCCTGTTCCAGCCAGAGGTCCCAGTTCAGTGACGGATGCTGCAAGCCGCTGCAAGATGATTCGTGGGCCGTGGCTGCTGGCTTTTGCAGGTTCGCCAGCAGCTTCAGCACCGGCCAGCGTGTCGCGAGCATCCGTTGGAGGCTTACTCCTCGGATGCAAAGCTTCGCCTCGGTCGCATGGGCCTTGCAGAGGCAGGCGGCAGCCACCCCCAGCTCGCACTGCTCCTTCCCACTCCTTGCATCATTCGACCGCTGCGCTAGAGTGTCAAGAAAGCAAACAGCCAAGACAACTAAAGCTTCAAGGGCTCCAGTGCTCTCCACGACTCAGCTCTTCCAACAGCTCGTCGGCTGCCGCGCAGCCACCGAGCAGTAGCTCGCGAAAGTTCTTCCAAGAAACCTCACGACTCGGGCCACACGACTCGGAGTACAGCAGCGGACCTGAGTGGCTGCATGCGTCGCCGAGCAACAGTGGTGCCGGGCAGGTTCGATGCCAGCTCGCAGTCGTCATCGTGGAATGCAGCTCGCTCAGCTTGCTCAGGTCGCTCGGCCCTATGCAAACATGGGCTCAGCAGGGCGAGTGCGGCGAGGGTCTGAAATTGAAGGCCCAAGGGAGCCATTCGATCACCGAGCTGCACCGAGCTGCGAGCCGCCCAGGCATGGGCATTGACTAAAGCGGAATCGCCGAACGAGGAGTGAATACAAGCTAGGGCCTGCCTTGCTCAAACAGCGGCTGAGCACTGCACAACGGCTCAACACAGCAACACAGACTCAATCATTATTCCGCCCACCTGCAAATGGCAGCGAGGGGGCCGTCGCCGTGTCCGCGCCAAAAGGCCACATGGACTCATGCACTGCAAGTTGGTCTGCGTAGAAGTTTTGAGCTGAGCTGGTTGCTCCCTCTGGTGGACTCGATGCAACACTATGCATTGTCATTAGAGCTAACTTGCCGTACTGCTCTGACTAATTAACAGCACAGTGGCTGCGGCAAGTTCCAACTCGGCTGGTTGCCGAACTTTCTGAAATAGACCCTGAGGAGAGAGAGACAGAGACAGAGGGAGACAGAGAGAGACAGAGAGAGAGACAGAGAGAGAGACAGAGAGAGAGACAGAGAGGGAGCGAGAGAGCGAGGGAGCGAGGGAGCGAGGGAGCAGGGATGGAGGGAGGGAGGGGAGAGAGGGAGAGGTATGGAGGGAGAGAATGCTTGCTGTCGAGAGCTCAGGATCCATGACCAGTGAAGCCAAGCCAGTCAGCAAGACTCCTGAAGGGGAGGGTTCACAACCGGCTTCCGGCTTCTGGTGGCAACTATCTTTTTGATCCGACGCTCGTTCGAGCTCTTGCCGGGGAGCTTGAAATTCTCTGACCTGAACACCATCTGCTAAGTGGAGCGCCATACTTTTGACATCCAGAAACATTCCATAAACCGAGGGCCTTTTGCAAGGCAGCTGCTGATTGTCCGAGCCCTCCGCAAGTCTAGCATGGAGTTCGAATTCGCTGCGCGGCCTGTCGGATCTGCAATTATCAGACATTATGATCGGATCATAGGGTCCTGTCAACCTGCATCCTGCCACCCCCCGGTGGCCCCGGCGCTGCCTGCAGAAAGTTCTCAATTCTGGCTGCGATGCGGGCGAGCCTGTAGACCTCGCAGCGGTTACAGGTCGCCTAGGGCCTAGGGTCCTGCAATCTGACTCGAGGCCCGGGCCCAAGAAGGGATACGGCCCACACCTGCAGAGCTCGCTGTAAGGCGGATGCCAGGATACGCCACTCGGAGCCTCGGGCCCTCAGAGTCCCCTTTGTCACAGCTGAGTTCTGGGCCAAGGCGCTGGCAAAAGTCGTCGGCAAAGTGACAACAATTCCTGTCGTCACATTGACGCTCGCTGGCTCTGAGATCCCACAATGATCCGACATGCGGCAGGCCTTCGCAGCAAGTCGTAGGCAGGGCCCGGATACCTCAGCTCTTGTCGATGCAGAGTGACTCATCACCACGATTTTCGGACGCAGCAAGAGCATCGAAGGGACCTGCAGTTCCGCAAGGTCCGGCCTCAAGCCGAGGCCCTTCGTGGCCCCTCCTTGCTGATCTTGCTGGCCTAATTAAGGCCAACAACATGCACAAGCGCAAAGCTGAGGTCTGCCACCTCACTTCGCAAGAATTTCCTATGCCAGGCTCTGCCAGGCTACTATAGGCTATGCTATAACTACCAAGCTGAAGCAGAGACGCCCTGAAAAGCGTGTTTTCCAGCACAGCTTCCTATACGTATCTGCAGGAACCACTGCGATACCAGCAGAATGTCCTAGAGTCCTAGGCGAACTGGCTGCACCAGAACTGTCCCACGACTTTGACAGGCATCGAAAACTGGTGCTCTGCTGAACCTTGCAAGGTTCCAGAGCTGTGTAGAAGAGGCACTTTTGCACAGTGAGGCTATGCAATCTCACAACGCATGTGGCCTCTCTACAGGGTGAGCTTCGTGCGCTCAGCATCGTGGGGAGCCGTCTTCAACTCCACCCCGGCATGCGCTGCTAAAGCAGACAAATGAGAATCGGGTCTGTCCAAGAGGTCTCGAGGCGGGCCACTTTCCACGACCTTCCCGCTGGACATGACAAGAATACGATCACAGCTCACAACCGTTTGCAAACGGTGCGCGACAGTAATCTGAGTCGACTGGCCGAACATGGTCGGGGATCGCAAAAACCGCTGAATGAGCCGGTCGGTGGCAGCATCGATGTTGGAAGTCGGCTCGTCGAAGACACGGACCTTTGAAGGCCACAATAAAGTTCGAGCCAGTGTCAGGAGCTGGCGTTCCCCCTGGCTGAGTGTTGACGCAGAGCTTGCTTGAGAAAGCAAGCTGGGCTCCAGCTCCACTTTTTGCAGGACTTCAGCAAGCTTCTGGCTCGAGTGCTCGGCGAAGGGGTCCAAATTCTCCTGCACGGTCCCTTCGATGAGGAGGGGTTCCTGTGGAACGACTGCGATGGCTTTGCGAAGCTTGCCGAGCCCGATCTTGGAGATGTCCACCCCATCGATCAAAATGCGGCCCTCTGTTACTTCGTTGAGACGCAGAAGGAGGACCATGAGCGTGCTCTTGCCAGCACCTGAGCGACCCACAACCCCCACCTTCTCTCCTGGCCGAAGCTCGAAAGAAATACCATCCACGGCTTTGGGGAGACCGGGTCTGTAGACCAAGGACACCTGAGCTCTGAAGCGACGTGAAGCGACAAGGCATCAAGCTACACTTTGAGACATCCACGGATGCAAGAAAGATGCCGCTTCGAAGGTCACACGGCCCGCCGCCGGCCATATCTCGGATGGGCTCCGGTCGCTGCTCAGCTGCCAGGGCGGCTCGGCCTGCGGCAATACCAAGGCCGCAAGGCCACAAGGCCACGACATGCCACGACACAGAGAGAACTCGGGCTCAGGCTGGGAGAATCCCTTGGTCGCCGTACTGGAGGAGCCGCTCCAGGCCTATGAAGAGCTTGAGCTTTGGCCCTAAAGGTCTCCGTCTCTACAAGTAGCTTCTTGGTCCTAGCGCCTGTCCTAAAGGGCCTGGAGTCTCTACAAGTACTGGTAGCTTCTTGGTCCTACTAGTAGCGCTTACCTGTGAGAGCCGTGAGCAGCAGCTGGACTGTCAAGGACAGAAAGTTCAGGAAGTATGGCATCAGGAAGCTATAGGTCAGTGCGAGCGCGCAAAAGCTTGGCGGGTACTGGTCCCTGTTGACAATGACCACGGCCGACGTAGAGCTGGCCGTCAGAAAACAGATGAGGAAGGCAAAAACGCCACCCGCATTCACGGACCCCAGAGCTGAGAAGCTGAAGCGATGGTAGTCGTCCAGGTTTGCGCAAATCCGCTTCTCAAAAAAGTCTTTGGCATCCATGCTGCGGATAACTTGCCGTCCGTTCACGCACTCGTTCACAGTGGTAAGGACAGGTCCCATGGCTGCATTCGCATACCGGCGCAGCTCGCGGTTGGTGCGGTAGATTACGATGATTTGCAGCACGAAAAGGCAGGCAGCAGTAACCACGACAGGCAACATGAGATTGACCAGGACTACAACCTGGACGAAGAGCATCAGCGTTGTGGCCGACAGCTGCCATGCATTGTCGATCCACTTTGGTATCTCTTTGTCCACAATGGCGATATCGTTCGAGAATCTGGACATGATCCTGCCCGAGGGTGTGGCATCAAAGAAGTGGACTGGGGCATGGAGCAAGTTGTTCAAGCACTCACTGTGCAAATGACGCGAGCTCCGCACGCCGCCCTCGCCGAAGCAGTAGGATGTCAGGCACATCAGAACGACAAACATTGCCGCTGCAATCCCGTAGACCGCAACATACAAGTCGTCATTCGATACCTTGCCCTCGGTCCAGTAAGCTTCTCTTGCCTCCACCCAGAGCGCAAGCCAGTAGTCGACAAAGCCCAAGGTGCAGTAGGCTAGAAGGACCAAGAAGTTGCAAAGCCTGATGCTAGCAGGCTCTGCACAGAAGTGCGATAACCACCCGTTACACCATTAGGTCTTGGATGTTAGAACCGGCTAAATTATGCCAGTGTAGATCCCCGCACAACACGACGACAGCGACTCTGACGTAAAACCAAATATGTTACACCGCACTGTTTGGGGAATAACACCGAAAAGCGAAGACTAATTTGCGGGTGGTTTGAGCGCAAGAAGGCAGACGAGGCGGCACCAGTGTCTGAAATAAAAAGACTAAGCATCTCTCCAAAAAGCCCGAACCACGCAAAGCCCATGCCACTGACATAGCGCACCAGAACTCGCAAAGGCACACCACCTGCCAGCTTTTCTTCTGCCTTTACCAGCTCCGTGACACCTTCCACAGGTTTGCCCTGCTCCATCTTCCCAGGCTTCTGCCCTTCTATTGCCAGCGGCTCCTCTGCTTCTGCTCCCACTCCTACTGGGGAGGACAGCATCGAAGGAATGTCGCAGCCCGACTCCAAACAGAAGGACCTCAAAGGCCCGTCTGATCGAAGCAGCTCCTGGGGTGTGCCTCGTTGCACAACCTGTCCTCCCGCAAGCATGAGAACGTGGTCAAAATGCGTCAGTAGCCATGGCTGATTCAGCACAACGAGGCACGAATGGCATCCAGCACTAGTTCTGACGCATCTCTTCAGAGACAAGAAGACCTCGTCTGCCACAATCGGGTCCAATGCCGAGATTGGATCATCTGCGATTACCAGATCGGCCCGGCGGTAAAGTGCTCGGGCAATGGAGAGCCGCTGCTGCTGTCCTCCAGAAAGCACCACCCCGCGCTCCCCAACCTCAGTGAATTCCCGCTTGGGCATCCGGGTCAGATCCTCGGAAAGCGACGCTGCAGCTAGAGCCGCCTGAAAATCCACTTCGCTTGGGTCCTCTTCTGCAAAGGCGATGTTTTCCTTGATGGTGCCGCTTAGCACAAAAGCCTTTTGAGGTATGAAGGCCAGTCGTTGACTTCGGAGCTCGACAATGCCATCACTGGTCGGGGGCATTTCGCCCAGTAAAGCTGCAACCAGCGAGCTTTTTCCACTGCCAACACTTCCGACGACTGCGGTGAAGCAGCCGCGAGGAACCTCCACATCCTCGACCAGCAGTTCAGCGCCCGGCGTCATCGCACTTTTTACTGATCGCGTGGAGGCCGAGCGCTCTGGCGCATGCTCCGGGGAGGTCTCGACACCAGAAGGCTTCTCAGGCCAGCGGAAAGATGCACTCTGCACTCTGATGCAGGGACCAGAATCCTCCCGCGTCACGTGGCGTACTGCCTCAGGTGTAACCAAGAAATCTTGAAGGCGCCGGACTGCTACACGCGTCGTCGCAATGTAGATGAGACCCTCAGGTATAGCAATCAAGCCCGACCGAAGTGCCAGAAACACGTTCAATGCTGCAAAGATATCCGAAGGCCTGAAAGACTCCGGGTCATTCCGTGCGGAGATGGCCAACAGTAGGAAGGCAAACAGACAGCCCACAATGGGATTTGCACGACCGATCTGCACGGTGCTTTGCGTCAGGACTCGATACCACTTCAGCGGAATGCATTCCAGCGCTCTTTCCTTGGAAAGGATCGTTTTGAAACTGTCCTCCCACGCACAGAATTTGATGGCACGGATGCCTTGGACAATCTGAGTCATAATGCGCATACGTACATCGGTCTTGGCCAAGTTGTCCTTCTCGGCTTTCTTCGCAAGCTGTGATATTCTGGTGTTTAGGAACAACATGCCGATCATGCAGACAAGGCCAACAATGCCAGCCACACCGAGTGTGTAAACCAGGATGGCGATGCCTCCTATGAGAGACACGGAAGCACCGGGCACCAAAGACAGGGTAAAGAGATTCTGCTGAAAGCGCACGGCATCGTTGCCGACCAAATTCCCGATGTCCGGAGCATCTTGCGCCCGGGCATGACATGTCGCCACTCTCAGGGAGTGCACATGTGCCAAGCCTGCAAAGGTTGCATTGAAGCGGACGCCAATGCGGCCCATGATGATGTGCCGAGTGAATGATAAAGTCATACCCTCAAACATCAAGGCCAAACAGAGCGCGGCAGCCAACAGCGAGAGCTTCCAGGTGTCTGAGTCGGTGGCCAGGCCGTTCACGAGAGCTTGCAGAAGCAATGGACGTGCCACAGTCGTCACACATCCACTGGCGCACCCAAACAGCGAGCCAATGACGACGTCTTTACGACAAACCTTCCAGAACACGCGCTCAAGGTTAGGTTGTTGTCCCAGCCGAAGGGCGCGTTCCTTCTCTGCTTGCCAGAAGTCTTGGGCTTGTGACACAATCTGTGCTGCTCTGAGGTCTGCAGGTACTGCTGGTACCTCCTCGGGTCGTAACGGCCTTCTCAGGCTCTTGAGTATTAGGGGAACTGTCCACGCAAGGGAGAGGTCCGCACACCAGCTACGGCCATGGCCATCATTGGACTTCATGGTTGAAGCAGCTTCGTGAAAGATTTGTACTTGCGGGAAACAAGCTACCCTTCCATGCTGCCTGAGAATGCAAAGTATGGTCATCAGAAGCTTGTGTACACGATTCATGCACGGGAACGGTATTGCAGCCAAACTTCACCGAGAAAAGCCGAAACACACGTTCTGGGCTGTATCTTTGTGAGTGTTTGTTGGACCAAATGATAGCGACAGCATCCACAACGCCAAGCGCTGTAGGGCAAGTGCTCCCTTGAGAGCTGCTCCGTCATCTCCTTGATTTGCACGGCCTTGTCTTGCCGTGTGACAAGACATATTCATTCGATTCCCTAAAAATCTCACGGCTCGTCGAAGCGTAAGCCCAAGACTCACAACAGAATCATGAATCGAGAGAGACATCAGGGCCCCACCGAGAGATGTGTGCAGGGCATCACCACAGTTTGCCTCCCCAGCACAACTGGAATCGACCAGTGACAGAAGTCTAAGTCTTGTCAGGGTTGGATGAATTGCTCGATGGGGGCGTTCTAATCCAGGGCAACAGGGTGCCGCGGCATGCTGCACGGATTGGCTGTTCCAAAGCGCCTGTAGTGGTGGTCTGGGTGCATCTTGGGCCGGTTCTGATTGACACCCGGCTCCTCCTTCAAGATAGGATGCAGTCGGGAGGATCAGCATGCGATCAAAGTTTCTATACAGGCAGCGTCCGCCTGTTAAACTTTCGTAAACGCATGGAACGGCAAATACTTGCAAAGTCCTGCGTCTCTGTCGCACCGTAAGACCACTCTTCCCCATTCACCTGCACGGCTGGGAAGTATATCAGACTCTGATGCTGGTGGCATAGTGGGCTTGTTTGTATGAGTGCCGCATCGAGGCAGAAACAGCAAACACAGTGTGGTCATTCAGGTCTTCTTTATCCCATCTTTTGTGTGTGGATGCGTCGGCCACGCAGGCAGAGCACGAAGGTCAGCGCAGCCATGGAGGCCAGTACCTCGAGCAATCTGCTATGATCCGCCCATGACTGCAGGCAGGAGAGAAACGATTGAATCAGGCAACAAACTGCAGTCAAGCATCTAACCACGTGGGCATCGATTCCGGCGGTCGCAGCACAGAGGTGCCTCCACTGGCCATTGGCGTGCAGTTGTCCAAAGTCGCCGAGTACTCAGCCCGTCCACTCTTTGATAGTTGACCATCCCCACGTCGGATTTCTCCCCCCTTTAAGGCCTGGCTCGTCGGGCTCTGGTGGCCAGCGGCGCAGCAAATCCTCGATCCTCGTGGCGTTTGTGATTTCAAGCTTAGGGTGCCCCTGCGCCCGTTTGCTCAAGCAGTGATCCCTTCCGCTTGGGATAACATGGCTGTGTCCGAACAACATGCCATTGCTACATGTGTTCTACCTCGAGTAGGTTCCAGCAACCAGTATCAGCGTCAGTATATAGTATATAGCCTGTGATAATCTGACAAGTCCAAGAAAAAGGCTCCCACTGATCAGAAATTCCCGAAATCAATTGGAGTCGGAGGTGCGTCACTGAAGAGTGTCCACGGATCCTTACAATGGAGCAGAAACATTTCCCGCAACCGGGCCCAACAGAACACGACTGTTGCCGGTGCCACCTTCACAATTGGTGGCTAGTGCTGCAGCCTTTTGCCACATAGCCTCGCGGAAGCACGAATGGACCGCTGGAGTCTACGTAGATCCTGCATCCCAGCGAGCAAAGGATCCCACGAGTTTGACTAGACCCAATAGGCCCTCAACATCCCGAAGCCGCAACATGGGCATAAGGTAGAAGAAAAGGCTCGACTGTCGCACAAGATCTTCTAAAGCCGACCGTGGTGCTCGGGCAAGCAGCGCCTGGCATCTCCACCCGGCATTCCGACATACTCTGACTCTATTGCAGCCACCAGATGCTACGTAATGCTACGCACCATCGTGGAATCCTCCGTGCCACGGCGACTGCCCCACCTCCAGGCTGCCGTCTGTGGCAGGCTCTGTGGATTGAGCCGACACCTCATGGACCTGGAGACCGAGAGGCGTGCCTGTTGTTTCGAGTATACGTGGGATTGTGCTGGTACATCTCATCGATTCGGCAGACTCTGAGAACTAAAGAAAACTACATTGCAGCGTGCTGAAGCAAGCTCGTACGAATGCGGACTGCTGGCAGAATATTCTTCGGAGCTCCTTTCATAGGCAAATCGCGCTCCTTTACGTACAAAGGAGTGGGCCCTCAAAGCATCTTGCAAGGTATTCAATTCTCTAAAAAACAACCGTCGTTTCTATTCTATGCAGCATCTGGGACTTCATTCCATGCTTGTGCTGGTCTTGGCCAGTCCACGGCAGTCGAAAATCTGTGGCACAAGCGGAACTTGCGGCGGTTTACTGGACTATGACGTGGCAGCTGGGCACCTGCTCAGTCAAAGGTGAGCGTGACTTGACGGTCGCTTTCTTCCGCCTGCACTCCAGGCCAAACCGCATCTGCGAGATTGGACGCCCGATTCCTCTTCCTCGCCTGCTGGGCCTTGGCCGTTCCCTCCTCGCGGCCTTGCGATGGAACTTCCAAGAACCCCGAAGATTCTGAGTCTCTGCAGTCCCGCCCGTCGGGTCCCTGGCAGTGTTGACAGGTGCATTGTCCGGATCCAGCAGCTCGAGCAGCTCATGGCCACCCTCTGCCTGGCGTTCCATCGCAGGTGTCTGCAATCAAACCCTCCATGAAATTGCACATCTATGACACGGCGCGAAGCCGAAACATGCGCTGAGTCTACGGTCACTCCAGATTTTCATAGATTTTCTCAGCACCAGCTTTGGAGATGCAAGGGCAGGCCTCCAGTTGCAGATTCAGGCTCGTCTCCTCTACCCGTTCCTCGCCGTACCTTGCAGCTGTGACACCGCGATGACCGCACGCGATGTCGCCAATCACAGTGAGCCCACGTAGGCTTAACCCAGCCCCGATACAGCAACAGTTGCTCGAGGACTTCATTGGTGTTGGTTTTCTGCCAGAGAGTCTTCGAAGGTGGTTTGCCAAATCGCCGTGTGGTATATGACAACCACTTTCCTCTTTCCCTCTGCATCACTGGGGATTTTCCTGGCCTCTGAACCGAGGCCCGCAAGAGTTCACGAGGATGACGGGGTGAGGAACGAACTCTCTGCCAAGCAGCCACAGGTTTCGAACCAGCACACCAGCCTGCCGCCGCACGGGAGCTGCAGCATCTTACGTCAACGAAAGACACCCCAAACTGCAGACTACGTGTGCGTCCCTGGACACTGCTCTAGTTTCGCCCAAATCATAAGCTTGTTCAATGACAGTGGCTCCTGCCAAGGCTTCAGCACCGAGGAAAGGGGCAACACCAGGTTCGCAGGAGTCTTTGCAAAGTTCACGGCTGCAACCGCTGTTGAACCGCCACCTCGCAGCAGGCTAGCAGAGAAGCTTTCACCCTCTGCAGTCTCTGCAGCCCACGTGCATCCAAAGTGCTTAGCGTCTTGGCCCACACTATCTGGCATTGCCGCTTGTCCTTCGCACACGGGAAGTGATCTCGAGCGACTCGGCTGGAGCCTCCCTAAGTCCGTGAGGTCACAGGTCCTCGGCATGGAAAATGGAAACTGTCCAGGGATGCCAACCTGACACTGAGCAGGCCGAAGCGAAGGCGCGAAGGACTGATGGCAACCAAGCATGATCTTTAGTGACTACGGCTACAGACTGGTCCACTGGTGATGCTGGTGTAACTGCAGCCTAAGCACGGTCTTCGATGCGTGCCTGCCCCGGGTTCGAGGAAGGCACGCAGCTGCCCTCGTCGAACCAGAAGCAGTCTTTATTGCACCATGTCCTTGAGTCTCTCTCTCTGTCAAAAAGGGTCACATCGTTCCAGGGCCCGGCATTTGGTCGTCCCGCCTTCCATGGCCTTGAGGGCAGTCTGCGCAGCTCGCGGCCTGCAATGAACGCGCGGAAGTGCTCCGATGGAACATGCCAAGAGCTCCCAACACCTTGTGATTACCACAGACCACTTCGGTCTTGGCCTGAGGCCACAACTTCTGAAGCGCTCTCTGCCAACAGAAGCAATCCAGTGCCCAGGGCACACACGGTGTCGTTCTTGTATGCGGGGAGGCATGCGGGCGGCTTGTTGCCTGGAGCAGGACATAGCAGGACGCACGGATGTAAAGTCTCGTCAGCCGTCAGCGCATCATGTCTTCACTCACCAGGCGTTGCCCCTGGCTCCTGGTGACCGCCATTCACAATCGCCGAAGCAGTCGTCGCGGCCGTGGCTACTGCACAATGCACCTGGGCTTTTCAACCAAAGCAGTGCAACACTAGGTGTTTGGCGCAGGGCTCTGTCATGCTCTGTCTGTGCTGTGCCGAGCGTCAGGTCTTGGCATAATGTCTGCCACAATTGACCTTAGGACAGGCTGTCGGACGGTCACTTCTGACATTCCATGAGAATCCCCATCAATTGCCCCCATGCGCCCAAGACATCCAAGGACCTGAAGTATTCAAACAAGGTTGGGGCTTGCAGGCAAGTTGCTCCTCCATCAGGCCACAAGATCTCGAAGAGTGGACTTCCATCTGGCTTCACACCTGCCACAAAACTAAACAGTTGCTCGCGTCGCTCCGGGCTCAGGGTAAGCATGCTTGATCATGTTTGCCAGTACTTGGGACAACGGCTAACTGCAGTTGTCAACTTGACGCTCTCAGTCGCGCCTGTCCGAAAAGATGGATAGTCGGGACAATTGGAATGAACGACTCGTCCTGCCGAACAGCAACGGACAGCTTTGACGCGCACCTGCTCAGCTAATGATGACACGCTTATCGCTCAGCTCCATTTCAGATCGAGGACCGGTCCTGATTCGAACAGCGCATCTTGGTTTATGCGTATTGCGTCTGCATTACCTTACTTGTCACCCAGCCCGAAGTGTAAAATACAACTTTGGCAGCATCAGCATGCAGCCACGACAAACTTCGATAACATCATGGGCCCTACATCTTGTGCCGGGTAGCTGTAGGTCTCCTCAGCTGCAGCATCTACGAAGTGCTCTTGACTGTCCACGTCCCGCTTTGACCGGGGCGATGTTGCCAGATGTTGCTACTTCAGCTTGCTGCTAGGCTCGAGATCGAAGTCGGTCAGTTTGAGCACGTTGGCCCCCAGCATGAGTGGCGCCGACATGACTGCCTAAGCCACACACTGTGCAGACACTGACTGTGACCAGGGACGACACACACTCGGAGCAGAGTTTTCATGAAGCTGGGAGAACATCATCCTCCCCGAACAACATTGCTCCATCCACCCCTAATCCGGCGAGATGGCCAACAACGAAATTACAGATCAGAAGACAACAACATGCAGCGAGCCTAAAACCAGGCACCAGCCAACCTGCACCCAAACCCGTGCTTTGTAGGAAGCCGGCCCACAGCGAAAACTGTGCTCTGGATTGGGCCTCAGAAGAGTCCACGATCGGCAGACCGATATCTGAATCACTCCGCCAGACTTCGACGACATCAGGGCAACGCGCTGCTCTCTGCTGCCCACGTGCGCGTTATTCCTTCCTTGCTTTCCATCCGGCTTTTGACCGAGCATCGGGCAGGAGTGAGCAAGAGCTTGGCACCCTGACTGCTTCCGATGAGCATGTCTGGATCCTCGGCAGATACGCACGAGCAATGTGGCGAAGCACCGCGAGTCTCGCTGTGCATGAAAGTGGCACAGCGATTGCGCACTTTGGATCACAATGATGACTGTGGGTTGCTCGGGGGTTCGTGAAGCTCTGCCAAGACTCATTCCAGCCATGTGGGCCGTGGTAGAGGCTGAGCTTTTCCATGACGCGGGCTGCTTCATACACCTCGGAACACTTCTTTTTGCTGGGGCACTCGTTCTGCATTCCTTATGAAACATTCTTTCATAGCTTGCGCTTGAACATGGAGGCATAGGCACGAGATGACACGAGTATCGCTAGCAAAGACAGACCATCAGACTTTTGTACTAATTACATCTGTCAAGCAGCGGCTCTGGGTCTTTCTCGGGCGGGCAATCTCACGTCACCCACACCGACTGTCGCCTGTTTCCCGCTGCTTCCTCAACTCTTCGCATGGAATGTACCCTCGGTGCCAATGCCGACTTAGCCGCGTACTGCATGTAAAGCCTTTCTCTGACTGCAGCGCTTGATGTTGCCCTGTTCTGCTGTTGCAGCATTCTCGCGCTCGCTCTCTCTCACTCTCTCCCCTTTCGCCAGGGCGAAAGAGGGAAGTTGCCTCCCCACTGCGCACGAGTGCGCCCCCGCCTGTTGCACGTGAGACGCAACTCACTCGAAGACCAAGGACCAGAAGAAAAAACAAGCTGCACTAGGGTGACCATGTCGGACTATGGTTTCGTCCGAGACTGCATACCAACAAAGACAAGACGCAACGGTGGCCTATCTCAGGCATGGCAAGAATCACAGGCATGACTTGTGCAGATTGCTATCTGTAAGTCGTGAATCTTGCAGCTTAGCCGAGGGGCAAGTTCCGGTTTCCGCTGTAGTACGATCACACAATAGCATACAAACCAAGTCGAGTAAGGCTATACACTGGTTATGTCTGGCTTCACACAATCTCGGCCTGTCTCGTGTCACTGGAGCGGTGAAGTCTCTCCGGGGAATCACTTGATTGGGATGAGCAGCAACGTGGAATAGAACAAAGATACCTCTCTCTGCGACGAATGCCTCCCTAAAGCTGACACTAGGCTCCATCTCTCTCCATTGTGCTGTCTGCTTGGCATGGCTGAGTTCCTCGCGCCTTTCCAGTCACGCACATCAGCGGTCACACCTCGAAGGCTGGCAAATGGTGGGTTGTGCTGCTGATGTCTTTCCCACGCTTCTTGCAAGCGCTTCGTGTGATAGCAACTTGGTACGATTTCCGCATGCATGCCACTTTGCTGCGAGTGCACTCAGCACATTGATTCGCAGACCAACGGGGCAGGCTGTGCCGTCCACATGCTTAGGATTTTGGAGCTGGCTCACTCGTGCTCGACCGTTAACTCCTCGGACATTCCCTCGGAAAGGCAAGCGAGACAGCAACAAGTCAAGGAAGCGTCAAATGATTTGCCAGTCTTGACGCTGTCCTGTTTCTCCTGGCACCAAGCCAAGGTACCCTCGCTGACCTAGGACAGCATTTTGTAGGCATCGTTCTTCCCATCCGTCACGTACTCCTGTTCAAGCAAGACAAGATCAATTCCGGCCGTCAGCTGCTAAGGCTTCCAAGCACCCTATGCATGCTTCTTCGGCCTGCCTGGTAGGTGCTGTGTGGGGTCGTCGTCATCTGGTTATGTGGCCCGTGGGCTGCCTCTTTACTGGCATGTGCGAGAAAGTTCGCTATACACAACAGAAGCAGGGCACAGCAGTGCTCCAGAGCCTTGCAATTGAACGTGGATGTGAAGCACTTCTGCTCCTCGAAAAGGCTGCGCAGGCTGCACGGTTACGGTTACCCTTCGGATGCTGTTCCGCCACGATGGTTAGGGACCCTTGCCACATCTTGCCACTAAGGCTCCCGATCTTTCCACCCACAGAGCGTCCCCTTTTCATTGGTCCGCTGTGCGCAGGATTGGAACCCCTGCATCAAATAGGCCAGAGACATGCATTCATGTCGGCATCAATGATGTGCAACATGCCTTGAATCGTCCAGCCTCATTTCGAGAGGTGCACTCAGAATAGCCATCCAAGACCTCAAAGCAAAGCGTCTCGCCTCGGACGAGGTCGAGGCAAAAGCTCGAGCGATGATTTTTGAGTGAATGATTGATGTGCACGACTCGTTTGCCCACGACAGCGGGGGTCAAGCGGACCAACAGGCTGGCCGGCTGGCCTGTATTCTTTTCAAATCGTGCCTTCCTGGAACTCACACTATAAACCCCCTCGTTGATTCCATGCCCAGTCCTGGCTTTTTGCATCGACGTAGAGCATATCTCATGCCCAAGTTGCGGGAGCATCTGCCCGAGGCAATGCTCAGGCAGGAAGCACCGTTCCATTGACAAGGCCGGCCGTGAGGATCCGCTGCCAACTGCGAAGCGAACAAGAAGCATCTTCCCCAGCGCATGCACTGCCTCGACCTTCCACTTAACCCTGAAGCCTCAACTCAGTCGGGTGCCTTTGCTCACAGAACGGACGCTCACAACTACTAGTACTTGGGTACCCGATCCGTTGCGCCACGGGCGCCTGTGCGCTGAAAGGTCGAGTCACGGCTCGGAGAGCTAGTGCGCTTCAAGTGAAAAGGCTACTTGCGCCAATTATGCGGCTAGTTGATGCCCTTTGCCTTCCCTTCCTGTTGCTTGTGCCCTACACCGCCTCTTTGCTGCCTCAGCCAGATTCTCTCTTTCTTTCGCCAAGGCTATGGTGTAGGAGATTTCCCCCTAAGCAGATTCTTTTCTTTTCTTTCTGCCGGGCTTAGGGGTCACTCAGATTCTCTCTCTCTCTCTCTCTCTCTCTCTTTCTCTCTCTTGCTTCCTTGCTTGCTTGCAAGGGGTGCGGGCCCCATCTTCTGTGCTCTTCCTTTGTTCCCTTCCTCGGACCCAACATCCGGGACGCCTCGCAGCGGACCTGATCGTGGGCCAAGCTCTCACATGAGCCACTGTCCTGCTCCCACGCGGGGCAGTGACAGTTTGCGATCGCCGATGTCCCACGGCCCACTCTACAACTATACGATCTTTCTGCGACGAAGCTTTGGGACATTTCTCACTCACGACGTGATGCAGCGCAAACCCTGCACGAGACAGTCCGTGTCCAGGGCCCGCCCGCCACAATCCACCTGCGCTCGAAGCTCCGCTGCACAAATTCCATGGCCGCAACTCTACGACTCCACGAGTCTGGACGTGGCCTTGCAGCTCAAGTAAGCCTCGACCTCGAAGAAGTCCTTGTCCGGAGTGCCATGGTCATGAACGCGGATGGTCATGTTGTTGGCTTTCGGATTCAAGCCTCAGCTTTGGATGGCTTCGGACGAGCTGCTGAGGGTAGCGTTTAAAAGAGGGTCTGCAGTCGGCTGTCTTGCGGCATGCCCGCCCCAGACTTTTCTGACAGAGCACGATACTGAAAGCCGAAGTCTCGCTTCACCTTGCCGCCCACGAGCACCGACGCGACGGTCTTGTTATCCTGCTGCTGGGCAGATGCCCCAGCAGCGACTAAAGGCACGGGGAAGAAGGCACGGACATGAAGGCGCACAGAGCTCTCTCCTGGAAGGCAAAGAAGGTGATCCCTTTGGCGCCCTCCGGCCGGTCTTTGGTGATGCGCAGCGTTCCTAAGCGATGCGCACCGCCTCGCCTCCGCCTACCGCCTAGCCTCCGCCATGCTCCTCTCAGCCAAGCATCCCCAGAACTTGCTGCAGGAGTAGCCCGCCAGGTTCATCTCAGCTTCACAAAATTTCTTCGAGAGATGCAAGCCCACCCAGCCCACCCCTCCCCGCGGCCGCCCCCAACGCAACTGCACTAGACCCCAGCTCGCTACCACACAAAATCCTGGTGCAGCCGATGACACGTAGAGATCGTTGTCCCCGCTGAGTGGCGAGGGGAAGGTGCCCGGATCCAGACGCAGATTCCTCGGCACTCACATCCAAAGCTCGTGGACACGTTAGTTGCGAGATAACTGCAGGCGTGGGATGGCATCAGCAGCATCTTCGGTCGCAGTGAGGATTCAAGACAAGGTGAAGCTGCCAGTGGAGTAGACTGTAGTTTATTTGTGGTGTCATATTCAATTTCTGAAATTTCTGAAAGGCAAGGCCGGCAAGGCCAAGGCGCACTCCATCTTCGTGGATGCTGGAACTTCCATCGGCATCGATCTGGAAATGCCCCTTCTTGGGATGCAGCCGGCCAGCGAGGTACAGGTCCTTAGCAGCTTCAACGTGTCGGCCACCCCTTGCGCTGGCGAAGCTCCCGTCCTTGATGTTCACCACATCCTGCCGCGCTCTCGTCACTGTCTCTTGCACTGTCAACTTCAAGCAACATGGCCAGGTCTGAGAATGCTCAGGTCCTCCTCCGGGTCGAAGCCGGAAGGTATGTTGTCCTTCTTGGCAAACGGAGAACAGAGAACGATGGAAATGGATGGAAATGGTGCACACCGAGCTCTGCCGGAGTTTATAATCATTTGTCATCTTGGCTCGCGCAGGTGCTTCGGCTGTTGCAGCTTCTTGAAAGTCCGCCGTTGGGCATGTCTCTCGGTGGAAAGCAACGCATGGCAAAACACCGAAAAAGAAATGCAACGTGTAGAAACATGCATGATCGCTACCACGCTGAGCTCACACATGAGGCTCGCACCGACAAACCTTCCACGTTCCCGCCGGCGAGCTGCCAAAAGGAAAGGTCAATTTTGCAGGGCAGGGAGTTCCAGGGAAAGACGGAGAGGGGGCAAGAGGAGAGCAAATGGGGGGGAGAGGAGGGAGGAGAGCGGGAGGGAGAGAGAGAGAGAGAGCGGGAGAGAGAGAGAGAGAGAGGGAGATAGAGAGAGGGAGAGAAGGCCTTCAAGGTCTGGATCTCTTGCCACACTTCCTGCAACGTCTGCTTGATCTGGGACACGTCGTTGTGGAGGGAAGCCTCGCCCTGCAATCTCATGAAAGGTATTGCAAGCGCTTTGACATCTCGGCTTCCGAGTCTGCTGCCGTGGTGGTGGCCGGGGCCGACAAGCCCTTGATCTTGATGACGAAGGGGTCGGGAGGAACTGCCTTTGAAGCAGACGGCACCAAGGGCTGGACCCCAATTTGCAGGAGCTATAACAGTAGTGGCCCAGGAACATTACTTCACACGGTCAAGCATGAGTGTGCAGGTGCCCTCCTCCTCCGGAGTCTTGTTTGCGAACGCGGTGTGGTCCGGATGCTTGGTCGTCAAGTTCGATGCCTCGTCACTGCCCCGCTCAGACTTGCAACCCGCTGACTGCCCACACGACCTTGACAGGACCAGCATGTCTCTAAGTCTGAGTCCTGCGCCGCATCCAGAGACGGAAACTTGATGAATGGGAAGATCGTACCTTGCAGCCGGCGGCCGGTGGAAAGCGACGCAATCCTGCTTCGATGCACCGCGAGAAAAACGTGCCGGCGTACTCTCTTCTTCTTCCTCCTTGGGAGCTGGACGAGGTGCCTTGGCCATAGTTCATGCAGGCTTATTGCGCAGGAAGCCTGTTATCCAAAGTCTAAATCCTTTCTTCAATGATGGCTAAGGCGTGAGTGAGAGCAACTGCCTGCTACCAGCAAAAGGCTCTTGCAGCGCAACCTGATTCTCGAAAAGGTACTGCAGGGTTCTCGTAGAGCCGCCAGGTCGTTCCTTCATTGCAGAGGCCAGATAATGGGCTCTGCGGCAATCTGAGGCCAGTTGGCTTTCTTAGCTCACAAAGTTTAGCTGACTTCTTGTGTATATCATACGAGGCAATTTGGACTCACCGTTGTGCAGTCAGAAATCAACGTAGACACCAAACAGTGAAAAAGCATCTAAGCGCCTGCAGGAGAGCCCCTGAGGCCACCAAGATCTCCCGCAACTACCCCCAACCTGCTCATTCCCAAGAGAGATCCCTCCAGGCAGGCTGACGAAGAATATGCTGCTGTGCTTCCATTCCATGTCGTGGTAAGGTTTCCGGAGGCCCGTGGTTCGGAGTCTGGGCGTGAGCCCGTCCGCATGTAGACCTTCGCCGCATCTCCGAACTCGCAGTCGCTCATCTCAGCCAGTTCGTTCTGAGGACATGGAAACAGCTGACGCACACTAAAAGCATGACGGGAGAATGCAATTTCAATTTCTGGGTGCCGCGACAGGAAGATCAAGCTTCATCTCTGCCGTTTGATTCGGGAGCCGGTCTCCAAACCTGGTCCGACAGCTGACAAGACTCCAGATCTGGCCACCAGCTTGGCAAGCTGAGCCCCTGTGCACTATGTAGTAGTAGCCACCCATTGGCTGATGCTCTGCAAGTGTGACCTGTGTACACCGCGGAAACTGCAGACACGTGGCAGAGTAAACCTGAAGGTATGCCATCTTACACGTGTCAGACCGCAAGGCCCACCCGTCTGCTGCGGACAAGGGGGCCGCAGCATATCTAGCATTCGCCACACCAGGGCCATAGAAACCACGCTTGTTGCCTCAATTACGGCATGCTCCCCCTCTTCTGTGTCGAATCCCGCCTACACAGGCTCATGCTTTGGAGCTGTTTCAGAACCGCAAGTGCTTCTGCAGTCAGGGGTCTGTTCCAGATGTCCTTCACAGTCCAAGCCTTAAGGAACGAGACCATTCCCTGAAGCAACACTTTCGCAGCACCTGCAAAGCAACGGAGCCAAGTTGCTGGATCGCTGGGGTAGTTCTCAGGGTACTCGAAACCCTGCGGCACTGCTCCTGGCAGTACTGCACTGCTGGACTGTACAGAACCTCTCAATAAGCCAGCATCTCTCCTTGGACAGTTCCTGCACATGCCACCACCTGCCCACACATTCCGCAATTCCCACTACTAGAAAGGGTAGACCTCTATGGCAGACATTGTCTGCGGCTCGCACTTTTGGGGCATCTTCATCACTCCTCAGATTGCACGGCACCGTCACCGAAGCTCCTATGCTGCCTGGCCGACTTCGCCAAGAGTCTCTACGGCGGAATCTTCTGCAGCAGACTTCTCGTAGGAGCTAACCTCGCTCTCCAACTGCAGAAGCTCTTCGTTTAGGCCACCTCAGTGCATTCCATGGGAATGAAAGCTAAGCATGCCTTCTGCCATACGGAATCGGCACAACGGGCTTCCCTTCACACTGCCACTGCCAGCATGTAGGGACTACTGACTCTAGCGAATGTTCTGCGCCATACCTACGGCACGCGGCGCATCCTGCTCCAGCTCAATCGTAGCTCTCCCCCCAGCCGCCCCCCACCCGCCGCGGCGTTTGAGTACGCGCAGCTTCTGCAGGGCCAAGAGGAACGGCCTCCAGGTTTCTCTGCGCCCCCTGGGAATGAGTTGCACACCATGCCCTGCGGCAACACCAATTATCTGCGATTGCAGGAATCACTACATCTTCGTTGGGCCGATTTTTGTTGGATGCATTGTGCAGTCAACCCACGCTTTGCTAGAAGTCCACCCGTCGCCGCTTAAAGCTTCTCGCTCATGTCGCACACGTTTCTTCCATACCAATCGCCTGCTGCAAACAAGCTAGTAATAGAAACTCTAGTAACTCTAGTAGTACTTCAAGCTGCTTGTTTGCCATGCCCTGCAGAAGGCGCTCGCACGTGTGCTTCCGAAGCCAAGCCCGAGGCTGGGCTCTCCTTGATCTGAGACTGCTATCGCCCGCCGCTCTGAACGGAGGAGGGCTGGAGCCTCCGCTCTTCTCAGATTACTTCGGCTGTGAAGTCTCCACTCTGACCCGCCTCTGGACCGCTCACATGCCTGGCCAAAGAGATGCTCATGTCACCAACATCTCCACATGTCGCCATGGTATGGAACAGGGCCCAGCATTTTGACGCAAGGAGGTGTCGGCAGCACAGCAGTTCATTTGAGCACGGCCTCCTTCCTGGGGCATCCTCAGCGTACTTGTGCAGCTCCACTGCTTCTCCGAAGCTGTAGTAGGAAAGAAGCACCTTGAAGAAGCAGAGACGGTCACAGCATACTCGAAGCGACTGACAGGCCCAGATTTGCAGTTCCGGGTGTCGAGCTGGCGCAACTAACCATGTAAGCATAGAGCCAAACCTGGCATCAGAGAACTCCTGTCATGCCGCCACCTCCTCGCTCTGAACCCCAAAAGACAAGGCTGCGGCAACGTAGGGTGAGCATGCAAGCACACTCTGACAGACCTACATAGATCTGTGCCACAAGGCCACTTGAGCCAAAGGTTAAGCAGACCATGATACAAATATTCTGAACGTTTCGGGCATTCTCATGCTTGGTCTCGTCGACTTGACTCCAGCAATGTCTGCATCCGTGACATGAGCGAGCAGCAAGCGATTCCGATACCCAGCACACTACACCCCGCGCCCATGGAAGATGATGTGTCTCAGAGTCTAACGCCAAAGGTGTCCAATTTGTCGTCCCACCGGCGCATACCATGGATTCCATCCGCAAATGGAGTGCACCTCAAATCAGGGAGCTGAGTCAGAACTGCTCAACTTGAAGGCTCTACCAGCGTGTACATTCCGCAGAATTGAGAGAGTTGTTGATCGTGCGACTTTAAGCAGATGCGGCTAAGGCACAATTGGTCGACCACTCTGGTTCAGCGCCTCAGTTTTGTGAATGAGACGATCAGTGCATCCTCAAGCGCGAAATAGTCACCCAATGGGCGGCAGGAGTAAGCACCTAGCTTCCGCCAAGAGGCCTCAGGTTGAGCCACGATCGCAAACACGGGTGGTACCATGGGGGGGGGGGGGGGGGGGGGGGGGTAGACGAGCGATCTGAAGCGCTTCAACTCGGCCAAGCATCGATACTTGCGCAGAGCGGCACGCTTTCCCTTGTCGTCGCACTTTCCCGACTCGGGATAGCCTTCCTTAGTCTCCGTCACCAAGTGCATGTGCTGACAGCAACGTACAACGAGCCGTGCAGGCGAAGGTTGCAAAGCTCGGTCGGGCTCCATGCAGCTAGGCGGCCATCGTGTCTCCACCTGAGCTTCCGCAACTCTCAGAGCTCAGAAGCATGCGGATGGTTCCGCGAGGTGGCTCTAGCACGTCTATCAGACAGACGAGTCACCACAACCAGACGCTGACAAGCTGAGCTGGGCACACTCAGGATCTACGCAGCCATCGTTCTTTACGAAGTCGACACCCCAAGAACCAAACAGCCTGCCAGGCAGGAGCTTCTACATGGGTTCCTCTGCGACGCCAAAGAAAGGTGCCTGCCATCCTCTGCTTCGTGGCCCATGGATGCGGGTCGGCTCGCACAAGTCTTGTAGCCTTTTTTGTGTGCTTCGTAGCTGCAGAACACTGCTCTCAAGAGAGCTCGGGAACCTCGGTCCGTGTAGATTCCGTACTTGAAGCCCAGGCCATGGAGGTAATCGCCCAATTCCTTCATGCCTGCCGCGCGCCGCACCCTCTCTGCCCTCTTTAAGAGTCGGGCTCCTGCGGTGTGGAGAAAAGTCCCCGCTGTACTGATGGCAACGAGTTCACCCAGTGGGAATCTTGGAAATTCCTCTAGCTTGATCAGGCTGGCCGAACGCAGCGCAGCCCTGCATACAATCGTGCCGCACTCCCGGCTGCATTATGTCTCTACAAGACGCAAGGTGGCAGTGCGCACCTGTGTATGGATCCGGCAACTCACTACAACACAAGACGTCAAGTCAGAAAAACAATACTCACTGTGCTTGCCTAAGCCCTAAGCCAGGCAAGACCTTCAACACCACTCCTGCGTCTGTACACCCCAGCCTGACGGAAAGGCCTTGCGATCTGCCATCAATGTGCCATCTGCCTTGGAGAGCCGGGCTGAGTACTTAGCGCACTGCACGCTGCAAGTCCACAGACATGCTGGGCCGATGCTTGACATGAAAACAAAACATGGCTCCTCTCGATGTGACACTGACTTTGCCGAGTGCGGTTCCCCCTTCCAACGTCCCGTTGTAAGCTGGCTTAGTTCGCTTTCGCACGGGTATACTGACTGCACCCCCAACATCTGTGCGAGCTCATCCTAGCTCCCTGTCTCTTTCTTACACTCCTCCTCTCTCCCCTCGCGCCGGAGCGAAAGCAAGACAAGCAGGCACCTTCATGAGCTTGCAACACTTTCCTTTTTTGCAGGCCTAAGGTCTTTTGCAGCCTCCTACAGCGCTTGTGTGAGAATCTCCGCACCGTGATCCGTGATGAGAATTGTGTGCTCCCATTGGGCCGCCCAGTCGCCTCTCTTGGTCAGGATGGTCCAGCCATCCTCCAACGCCGGTCGGATCGTGGCATCGCGACCCTCAATGTAGATGGGCTCAATGGTGAAGGTCATGCCTGGTAGAAGCTCCAAATCCAGAGAATTCTGCACATGGCTGACATTCGGCTGCATGTGTAGCTCGCTCCCAATGAAATGGCCGCAGAATTCTCGCACTGTGTTGAGGCCTTTGCTTTTGCCAAGGCTCTGACACCAATGCCCAATCTGATTCAACTTGATTCCCGGCCCTACTTTCTTGATGACTTCCTCCAGGCACAGTCTCGTATCCCTCACCAAGCAGTATGCATTATGTTCCAATTCACCGATGCAGGCCATGGCGGAGCAGTCGCCATAAGCTCCATCCAGGAAGACGGTGACGTCAAAGTTGACGATATCCCCACTTTCCAACGGCCGGGTGTTCGGCACTCCATGCAGGGCCACTTCATTTGGCGAAGCGCAGAGGCCGCGGGGGAATCCATAGTAATTGATTCCAACTGGATAACCTCCGCGGGAGACGATGAACTCGCTGGTCTTGCGGTCAACCTCGTCCGTTGTCACCCCCTCCTTCGCAGCATCGCAGGCCACGACCAAGGCTTCTGCTGCAAGACCACAAGCAAGTCGCATCTTGCCAATCATGGCAGGGGATTTTCGTTCGGCATACTCTTCCGGCTTCAAGGCTCGTGGGATTCCTCGTGGGTGATCGGCGTAGGAGGGGCGCGGGATGTGATTTGGCACCTGCACTGGTGGAGGTACTTCGTATCGACTCAGTGGGAAGGCTGGAGAGTTCGGCCTCTTTATCTGGGGCAACTCTTGGGCAGGTAAGCTGCTGCTAGCTTCACCTCGGCACAGGACTCTGGGAAGTAGGCACTTGCCCCATTGGCGAGTGCTCCCTCGCAACATCTCGGAGAGAGCTGCAGAACAGGAGGCCCCTTGTACTGCATCTTGTCTTGATCACTGCCAGTCTAAGCTTCAGTCGAGACATGAACATTAACTCGTCGTATCTTGTGCTTGCCATTGCAGCTAGCCAAAAAGCTCAGCCGGCTCGAAAGTCACAAGGATGCGTGGCAGAGCATAGGCAAGGTGGAGCACAACAGCTGGGCACCAAGCAGCTCGGCTGATCATCCAGCCTCAGTTACAGTTATGTGGACGAGGCAGGCAGCAATCCTTCCTTGCTTGCTGGCTGGCTGCCTGGTGCCTTCCTGCAGCATGGGGGGGTGGCGCTGCAGGTGCACCACGTACAACACCGAATCAGCTGCCATTTGCTCATCGCACGTTGGCTGCGGTTTGCAAGTCTTCGGTGCCATTTCGAGCGCGCTCACTGCAATCATCACACACTCAAGAAGTCGCTCTCTTTTCACTTGAGGGGACGACCCTCCACATTGACTGCAGCCATTGTAGCAATTTTTGCTAGCTGCATCTCCCCGACTGGTTCATTGCGCATGGTGTGTGATGGAGTGCTCACGCGAACAAGGAAACGCTTCTTCACCACAGCCAACAGGAAAGAGACATCCCCGAATCCCTTGGGCGCGTGTGGGGGATTTCTGCTTCCTTTTGACGGTGCTGAATGAGTGGTTCCCTGCTGGTGATTTGGGACCTGAGCACTGCTTCACAAGGAATCTCTCTCTCCCTCTCGCTTCCTGCTTGCAAAGCGGTGGTTCTCTGCGATGCGCCCATGCTAGGTTGCTCGTCGCCAACGTCAGACACCACATCACACCACAAGCCTGGATCTTTCAAAAACCTCTGGTTGGCATCCCTCGTACAAGTCCTAAGGGGCTTTCAGGGCCTCTGGCAAGCATCGACTCAACATCTGGTTCTGCGGTGCAACCAAAAGGACAGTCATCGACAACGATATACTCGTATCCCAGCGCCAGCAGGCCCACGTGCTCGATCTTGTCCTGACAGAGTTTTTCCAGCAAGTAGCTGCTTCCTGCAACAGCACGGGCAAACACTGCAACCGAGAGTCTGCAATGGCCTCGGATGCTGACCCCAGTGCCGACAGCAGTCATGCGATGAACGTGGCTTGAATGCGATTTTGCACCGAGATGCCTTAAGCTTCGCCTCCGACGGCCGGCACTCCAAGTCATTCCAGGAGTTGTAGCCCATAGGTGGCTTCGAGGCGATGCCATCCTTGCGATGCATGGGGCCACTAGCAATTCTCTGACTTACAAACCTATCGGCAGTCGACTGGTGCAAAGAGGCATGGGTTCTGAGACGAGCCTCAGAATGCCTCCGGGGTTTGGAGACCAGTGCCCTCTCTGAATAGAGCTATCCCTGTACTTCCCGTAAGTTCATCCCCTGGATTTTACCTCTTCACGGCTCTGTTCTGCCCGCGCAGGGCCCGCAAGATCAGCAGACGCTTTGCTGTCACTTCCCATCCAAGATGAATACAAGACCAGCAACGTCGGGAAGGCCGCCTGCTCTGAGGAAGTAAGCCTCATCTCATCATGCGTTGGTCTCCCGTGTCCTATCTTATTGCAACTCGTATCAGTGATCGAGACCTCCTGGCCAGTCTTGCATTGCAAGGTAGTGACAATCTTGGGGCAAGCGGCTGCGGAGAGGAGGCGGAGGAGGCAGCGGAGGCCGTGGCATCCCAGCAAGGCCGAGGCCCTTCTCTGGGCCATGGCTCCATGGTGTCCATCACGGCAATGACGCCGCGAGAGGACAAATATCTAAAGAAGTCTCGCAGGGACTCTGGCCTGAATCTGTCATGGACTATCATGGACTCAAAGAGGAGTTGCACGGCACCCTTCAAGCTGGTGGCCGTAGCCAGACAGGCAGTCTCAACGAAACAGCTCCATCCTGCGTGGCCTTTGTGAGTATCGGTTGCGATAGTGCGCCAACTGCCACAGGTTAGGTAATGTTTCCTGTGGTGCCTGCAGCGAGAGGCGAAGTGATCGGCTCTGGAGCCACGGTTAGCATCGAGACCGAATCGGCTGAACGGCAAACTGCTGCAAACTGCGAGCTTGAGCTCCCTAAGGCACCTCCACACCTGCATGGAATACGCCTCCAAACCTGCAAGCCAACGTCTGGCTTCAATTTCTGATTCCGACTGCTCCTACCAGCGGATGGCCAAGCCCAGAGCTTAACGGGCAAACGCTTGTTCGCCAAGACCTGCCGAGGTCATAATATGTCATGATCTACTGCACGCCGCATGCCCTGCCTTGTTTAAACGCCGTATACCAACTTCTTGTGTCACCTCTGGAAAGGGCAAGTTCAGCTGCCGCACCAGCATCAAGACTGCAGAGAGGTCTCTGCATCGTAGATGTGCACGAACACAGGCCAGCCAGCATCCACCTGGCCAAGGCCCGTCAAAGACTTGCAAGCTGCTTTGCGAGAGCGAATACCTCGCCACTGAAGCCCGTCGTGGACAAGGGCCTCAGGCACTGCCCGCTCTTGATTCCGAAGCATGCTCAGCTAAGGCGCCCACAGCATTGCCGATCTAATGAAGGCACGCTCTCTTGCTGGTTTCTCCGCGACTTCACCTCCACACTCCCGGACTGTTGGTTCTACTCGAACATGCACGGCATCCTTCCTGCGCAAGGATGGCGTAGGTCCGAGTCCGAGAATTGGCGAAGCCTCCCAGCATAGGCTCGCAGGTGATTTTTGCAGGCAAACCTCCGAGCCCTGTTGGAAAAGATCACAGGCTGCAACCCGGAGGCCCTCGAGCGACCTTCTCAAATGCTCCACGTCTTCCTTGTCGAGGCTTGCGATCAGAGGTCTCGTCAGAGTTGTACCGTCCTTCGGCTGCGTGGCATGCTTCAAGGATCTGCCGCGCTATGCTGTCAAGTCACTTGTCTAGAAGGACGAAGAAACAAGGTCAACCGGGGAACCCAAAAACAATCCACAAAACAAATCTCCCGAGCTCTTCAGCCGATCTAGTCAGTGCATGGATCCCCCGGGTGCCGTACCCCGTATCGCGACCTAGAGTCTAAAACTACGAGACGCGCCCACCTTGCCCGGTCCACGATAGCAGCCCTCACAGCACAGCATAGCCCGCGCGTCCTCCTGGGTGCCACAGGTCGGCTGAGTGGCCGGAGGCTCAGGTGCTCCTCCAGTCGGCTCGAAGCAGACATGCTGCACGCTGCAAGGCACTGCAATGCACTGCAACGCACTACACAAGTCACAAGTCGCACCGTAATTATCCTGGACTCGGTGTCAACGGTAGCATTGCCGAGCGCATCCATCCGGCCTTGCACTCTGGAGCCTCGTTGACACTCAACGTGAGACAGGCGGGAGTGCTGCAGTCAAGCAGATGGCTCGTGCTTGTGGAGAAGCACGACACGTGGCCATGGAGAGCTGGGCACAAGGAGCCACCCATTTCCGAGTCCACGGCCCCACCACCGGCACGGATGTCTGCGCTCAAGCTGAGCATCGCAGTCCGCATGTTTGCTTTCTCAACATCTGCATATCCAGAACCTGGCACGGCATGCAAAGAAACAGTCCAGAATTCTCGAACCTCGATCCCCCGATCTTTATGGAGATATGGAGAGAGCAAAGTGTCAGAGGACCGTTGCTCTTCCCCGATTGAGCGACAGGCCTGGGGAGTCCAAGAACTCAAGAGCTGGAAGACGGACTTTTCCAAAACTTCTCAAGCTCTGCGCCTAACATGACCTCAGCCGCCGACGGATCAGAATCGCCCAAAGCCTCGGCCTCGACCTGGTCCAAGGCCTGGCTCGGCAATCACGCGGCGGCCGCCGAGGTCCTTTTCGGTTTTTCCCAAACTTTTCAAGCCCCCGCAGCCTCGGCCTCTTTCCCTAGACCCTAGGGTTTGGGTCCTGTCCCCCCAGGATTTGGTCGCCGGGGCGTCCCCACTTTTTGTCCCACTTCGGTTTAGTCCCTGACCTCCCTAGTGGGTTTCAAGGGCTTTCTTGCGTGCTCGGCTGTGCACTTCGCCGTGCATGGCCTGCTAGCCCGTAGTGTAGGTGTGTACAATGCTACTTTCGTCTTGTGCAGTCTCGACCTCAACACTCCGAGTACTGTCGAAAGACATTGTCTCGCTTGTAGTTGTTTCGTGGCTTGTCACTTTTGTGCGACTCTGCTTGTGCTGTTCTGCGATCAAGGCGGGATAAGTCCTAAGGTGGACTTGGCCTCGAAGTCTTGCTTTGCTGCACTTGGCTTCCCAAGCTTTCTGCATGAGTCTCTTCCCGATAAGACATCGGAAGACTGGTGTCACAAAGACGTCCAGTGGACGACTAGTTGACGCTGGACTGGACCGTAACTTGCCTCCGCAGCCAAGGAGTCCACGTCCGGACGCCGCAGACCTGAGCTTGCAGGAACTTTGTCGATTTGTGCGATCTGGGCGCTCTCGGCTCTTGGCCTAGCCCCTTGCTGGCGTACCTTAAGACAGCCGCTGCACGACCAAATGTGGAGGGTCAAAGGTCAAAGGCCACACAAGTCTTTTGCTAATTCTATTGAGACAGCCGACAGCACTACCGTCACAATCGAAATACATATAGTGCCACGTCACACGTGACCGACCAGCAGCAACAACTTCACCCATGAAGTCACTCGGAAGCAAAGGATCGGGCCCGGACATGCTCTCAGCCATTGGCGGAGGTGAAGGCCCCATGCCCAGATCCAGAGCCTGGAGACTCCACCCGGCGAGGAGGCTATAGCAACTGAGTTGCCTGATCGCTCGCTATTCGCCTGCCGGAGATGCCCGGCGAGCATCGTCAGCTCCTGGTCCTGGGCAGCAGGCTCTCCACGCGAACACCCCGGGCCCCGGCCCTTCTCAAAACACTCGGAGGCTATGTCTACGTTGCCGTCCTCAGATCCCGAGGCCGAAGTGGCCGAAGTGGCCAAAGTGGCCGAGGCCGAAGCGGTTCCTGAACGCGAGATTTCCGCCGTTCCGCCGTTCCGCTTCCAAGACAGAACCCGAGCGAACCGCAGCGAACCGATAAACCGATTTTTCGGGCGCGGCAAAGCCGAGCTTCCCGGGAGCGGTGAGACGGTGAGACGCAGCCGAAGCAGCATTTCGAGGTGTGAGGTACAGGCCCGGTGCAGAGGCAAAATGAGTGAAACGCACGCTGTCCTACCTCATGTGTGGCAGCATGCTCGGTGCTGAACGAGAATGTTTCATCGATTTCTGGGCTTTTAGCCGCTTCTCCATCTGTACTAAAGCATCCGCAATCTCACCTTAGGACACCGATTTGCCAAATCGCCGTGAAAGGAGCATTCAACCCAATGAGCTGCCCGAGTGGCTGTGACCGCGGCTGTGTGCGTACTTCTTTGAGGTGGCCGAAAGCTCGACCGCGCCACCTAACCTGAGCGCTTTCGGGATGCTTCCGGGGCGGCTAAAAACTACACAACCAGAAAGCCCGAACTCAGAGTTCCGGATGCAAGTCATCCGAGTGGCGCCAGCAAGGTCTCAACGCAGCTGTCGTTCCCTCTGCGGGCCGCTTCGTGCAAACAGGGGTGGCCGGAGTGGTTCTTCACCTGTAGAGAGAGGCCGGAAGACTCTGACTCGTGTCACGCGTCCTTTTTGGTGCCCTCTGTCAGGCCTTCACAAGATCCGGAAGGCGTCTGGCCAGCGACTTCACACAGCCGCGTCGACCGAAGCGAGCAGCAATGTGCATGGCCGTATGTCCATCCAAGCCTAGGTTATCTGCCAAGTGCTGGGACCGGGAGCCAGACATGCTCCTGTACATACAACATTTGCTGCACCGGCAGCCGAGGCATCGGACGGTTGGGCGGTGGTCAAGTCTTTCCGGGCCGCACTGGAGTCTACAAAACAGCATGAACAAAGGTTTCTGCAGAGTGCGCGAGCCGGAATCCCATGGAGACATGGCACGCGACCTCAGGCCCTCATGCAACTAGCCCTTCCAGCGAGGCACTCTGCGTCGTCAGCAGCTGCTTTGCCATGTGCGTCTTCAGCCTGGGCTCGCTGAGAACCACAAAGATAGCCGGTGACACAATCAACTAAAACACGCAACGATGATAGGAAAAATAGTCACAATGGCATTGTGATGCTAGTCAGCAGGCCAATGACACCAGCAACAACAGTAACCACCAAACCAGCAGCAGCAGCAGCAAGAGTAGGAATAGGGGAAATCATTAGCCACAGCATCAAGAAAACTATGACACATAACGATAAACATGTCAATAATCGGCAAAGAGATCGTAAGAGTAAGAGTAAGTTTTGGCTCTTGCAGGGTAAGCCCGAAAGCCAGCTCAGCAAGCAACACGATCATTATGGCAAGCACAGTAGGGACAGTAATTTTGTAGTAACTGTGATGCCTATAGATGGGTTCAGCAACAATCACCGTACAGTCAGAGCAATAGAAGTCGCTATCGTAATGCCAGAACTGCACTAGTACATAGCCCTCAAGAGCAATTGTGATTCAGGATAGCAAGTAGTAACTCGTAACTGGTGATTTGTATTCAGTTACTAGTACAAGCAACTAGCAGCAATAGCAATAGCAATGGTAGTAGCAATAGAAATAAATCGAGTAAGAGCAGCGATAACAGTGACAGTCATGCTATTCGTATCACTGTGAGTATTACGATTACTACTACTATTATCATTGCTGCTGTTACCAATACCATTACCATTTCCATTACCATTACCATCAAGTACTAACACTAGTACTCGTTCTCGTCCTCGTACTCGTACTAGTTCTAGGAATACTAGTAATACTAGCAGTAGTCGTAGTGTGTAGCAGTTGTCGTAGTAGTAGTAGTAGTTGTTGTAAGAGGAGGAGGAGGAGGAGGAGGAGGAGGAGTAGCAGTAGCCGTAGCAACAGCAGCATGAGCAGCCGTAGAAGCAGCAGCAGTAGTAGCCGTCGTCGTCGTCGTCGTCGTTGCTAGCACTAGTAGCAGCAGTAGCAGCAGTAGCAGCAGCAGCAGCAGTAGTAGTAGTAGTAGTAGCAGTCGTCGTCGTCGTCGTTCTCGTCGTTACTAGTACTCGTGGTAGCAATAGTAGTAATTTTTGTCAGTAGTAATACTAATAATAAGTAGTTTTTGTCACCCACCTAGCACGGCTCAGCCAGCTCCGCGGGGCTCTATGAGAGCAACGACGACTGGGATGCATTCAGAGAATTCAGATCAGGAAAATGTCCAATCAGCGCGGGCCTCTTTCAGTCACAACAATGAAGCCACGAAAGTACAGGCCCGCGATGATGGCCAGACAACACTGTACACCCGCGAAACATTAGTATGACCCCAAAACAATCCCCTACACTTATTCCAGAAAACAGCAACTAACACGCGGGAGACCCTCGTCGAAGTCCCAACTCAGCGCATCACCACAACGCAACACAAGTTAGGGCCACACAACTGAAGGTACTTCAACGGGTCGAAAGGCTGGTATGGCACCAAGATACGGCACCGAGAGTCCTAAAGGAAAGGCAGTACTCACTGTATTAAAGGACTGTTAATTGGACTGCGCAATTGCAAATTAGCTTGCGTTGCAGCTTTGGCACTTCGCAATACATATGTACAAGCTACTAATAGTAGTAGCAGAAGTAGTAATAGCAGGAGTAGTAGCAGCAGCAGCAGCAGCAGCCGTGGTAGACCCTAGTCGTTTGTTGTTGTATGTTGTTGTTGTCGTCGTTGTAATGTTGCACCCAGCCAGAAAACCCTCCCACATAGTAGTAGCAATAGCAACAGAAAGTTGAAGGGATGCGTATGCCAGAGGGTCAGGTGCGTATGCTAGAGGCTCAGGTCGGTGCAGCACCTCCAGACACTTGGCGTGGCCCCGCTGCGCTGCCAGGTGCAGGGCTGTCCTTCCCGTGAGGTTCAGGGCGCCCACGAGCCTAGGAGACATGAAGAAGGTCAATGGTTCTGGCAGCTTTGGCAACGAAAAGCTCGTCACGGTGTTTGGGCGCCCGAAAAATCGTAGACACGGCTACCTAGCTGCCTTTCCGACAACGTGCCCGCTGCCCTTAGTGTCTTAGTGGCAAGTGCAGCCAAAGTAGCTCTGGGGCTTGGCCAGTGGCCACCATGAGGGCACGGCAGCACTCTGCCTCGGGTTCTCGCAATGCACCCGTACCCGTGGGCAGCAAAGGACCTTTCAGAAAGCTTGGCGAACTGCTCGGAGAGAAAGGGGAATGGTTGAGAATGAAACCGAAAGCTGGCGCGATGGAAAGAATGGAAAGAATAGCTTCTTAACTTGTCGTCACTTGTCGCATCATACTTCTGCGGCTGGCCAAGCTGCGTGACCATTGTGGGCCGCATAATGCAGTGCGGTCCATCCGTACTTGAAGGTCTTAGCTGTAACGACTTCAAGCGGCACCTGCGGGGCTTCTTGACCGATGGTAACGATCTTGCACGTTTCAATGTTGCATAAAGCTCCTATGCAGTCACGTGCGAAATGTGTTATCGCATGCTGCGACTGAATCGACTGCTGACGTATGTCGGCGACAAACATTTCTCACTCAAGCTATTCCTTCTACACCCTCACATGGTTTCACGAGACGGGTTTCGCATGCAGTGAGCTGCTGCACCTCACGTGCCACTCGGCCGATCCCAAGCAGCTCGTTCAGGCAGCTGTGGTGTCCTCAGTTCAGTCAAGCCTCCCGGTGCCGGGAACACTGACAATGGCAAGCTCTGCAAGAACTGCTCACTAGCTTTCGCGGCAGGGGCAAGTCCTTCAGCTGCTGCACAGTGAATCGCCGTTTGGCCTCAGCATCGACGGGTTCATGGCGAGTTCAGGACGGAGGCTCGAGTTGTGGCCATGACCGGCGTTGTCTTGCAGCGCCACGAGGCCAGGGGCGACTTGAAGGAGCTCCATGAGGCAGTAGGCCCTGCTGGCAAGCATTCCTCGCTGCACTGTTGGGCTGCCGGCCGATGCCGGCCGCGGCTGCCTGCCCATTACTGCAGCATCATGGAGTGCGGTTTGACCGCGCTTCCCACGGTACCTGCACTGCATCACGAAGCGTTCGAAGCTGGACACCACGAGCTCCAATGCAGCTCAGCCACGTTGGGTCGGCTCCCTCCTCTATCAGCACATCAAGCTCGGATTTCCGATCTTCCTGATGAACAGGTGTGCCGTCCGGCCCACAGCATGTTTCGCCCTCGCGGCCTTGACAGCTCTGAGCAGGGCCTCGCCCTGCTCGACTCTGACCTTTCGACTTTGTGCATGGGAAATGGGGAAATGACGCAGTGCCTGGACCCGGCCATGCGAATCGATACCACTTCGCCCCATCTTCAAATGGAAGACCGGGCATTGCCCATTAAATTCACGATTTGAGCGCTGCATCCTACGCATCAGGATCCGAAGATACTCAAAGCACAATTACCACCAGCCAGTCCCCTCTGCTGATCAAGTCACATCGCTTTTTGGCAGCACATCCACCATGATTCAGCCACGAACTCCTTTGCGTGACAAAAGAGTTGTAGGGGAATGTGCAATCCTGGCGGTTGACCGGACAGTCAACTAACTTCTAGAAACTGCACAAGCAGCAAAAAGATGCAAAAGGGCTGGTTCGCGGCCTGGGCCACTGTTCCGGCAGCACTCCGCGGCGGACGCTGCGCTTCCCCAATGTTTGTGTTCGTTGCGTGTCACATCATCCTTCGACTATTTGGTTAGAGATTGCTTTTCGTTCACATGCTTTCACATCTTGCGAGAACGACTGCTGACCTCCTTTTAAGACATGGAGCTCTTCCCTGACACACATGGCCATACCGAATCCCTAAACCCTGGGAGCCAACACGCGAGTCAGCTGCTCACACCCAGCAGGTCACACTGAGTTTATGCTTGCCATCATGAACCTTCCACTGCTGCAACTTCGGACCTTCCCGAACCGGAACCCCAATGCACCGACTTCCACGCAACCTGAGACGGTTCTCGAGGGCTCGATTGGCTGCCAACCGGCTGCCTCGCCTCGGATCGAAGCTTGAAGCTTGCGACCCACGGAATGATAAAAGACTTGCGAACACACAGGGAATTGCACGCGGGAAGAGTAGTAGTAGTGGTCGTCGTCGTGGTAGTAGAGTTATAGTAGTAATTCGTAGTAGTAGTAGTAGTAGTAGTAGTAGTAGTAGTAGTAGTAGCAGCAGTAGTAGTAGTAGTAGTAGTAGTAGTAGTTTAGTAGTAGTACTAGGAGTAATTTAATAGTAGTACTAGTAGTAGTAGCAGTAGTAGTAGTAGTCGTAGTAGTAGTAGTAGTAGTAGTAGTAGTAGTAGGTGGCAGCGGCAGTGACAGTAATAGTAATTTTTTGTCGTAGTAGTAGTAGTTGTAATCATAGGGGTTGCAGTTTTTGGAACATCCAGAGTCGCAGGAGTAGCAGGTGTAGGGTAGTAGGGGACGAGCAGGAGTAGCAGAAGGAGTAAAAGGAATGGCTACTGGAGTAGGATGAGGAGTCGGAGTACGAGTAGAAAGTGCAATAGCAGTAGTGGCAGTAGTTGTAGCCGTAGTGGTGGTAGTTTCTTGCCACGGTGGTAGCGTTTGTAGTGGTAGTCGCCGTCGTCGTTCACTACTGGCATGACTAGCAGCTTGTACTAATTGTACTCGTCGTCTCCGTAGTACCAATGCAAACAATACTTACAAAGCAGTCGAGCAAACAGCAGAAGGAAAAACAGTTGTGCAAGTGACGGCGGTGATGATGATGATGGTGATGATGATGATGTTTTAGTGACGGCGGGGAACATGGTCGTCATGAACGCGGGAGATGATGAACATGAGGGCCTGGAGCATGGAACACAGCACGACCACTCGAGCAATCACAGCAGAAGAAACCGCTTCTCGTCACAGATATAGAACTGATCCTGAAAGTCTCCATGATGCTGCTCGGAAGAATGGTGCTGTAAGCTCTATGAGGCAGAACTACTTTGATCGAGCATCGGCCCTGTCGCCCCATAAGGCCGCGACGGAGCCAGGTGAGAAGCACCATGGTCACTTCTGACACGCTGAGCACACCTTCACCCGCGATTCGTAAGCAACTACAGTCTCATCTTCCGCGCTAAACATTTTCTGTAGGTGTCGCTGACCAGTCCCGCCCCCATGTAGGGACTAGGCAGCGCTTTGGGGTCTGGAGGGTCTGTGTTCCCTCCGTCGTCAACATGTGACTCGCGACTCAAGGGGAACATCTCAAAGGGCCTTGGTCAATACAAATCTCGCCGAGCAAATGGCCCCAAAACCTCGGAAGTGATGCAGTTGCAGGCCTGCGGCTGCATCAACATAGCGGCAGGCTTGCAAAGAACCACACAGTTGCAAGTTTCAATCTCGAGCTGAGAGAAGAGCTCGGGAGCCACGGATCGCTGGCGAATGGACTTGACCTTAAGCTTTGAGTCTACACGAAGAACGGCATTGCATGGAGCAAGAAAGTCTTGAATCTTGCAGACCCTTAGTCAATGTGAACCTGGGCGTACCAGCACGTTCCCTAAAGCCCAAAGCGGCCCAAGCGGCCACGTCTCTGAGCACAGTCGCAGGCAGCTCTGGGAGCCCAGGGCCAGCCTGGTCTGACGGAGGTTTTTTTCCTCCCTCCAGGACATTTCAAAACCGGTGACGTAACGGGAGCAAGCAGTCAGCACGAAGGGCGAAGCAAGCTGTGGGTTCCGGTCTCCCGTCACCGAAAGATTCAGGGGAAGTTCAGGGCAATGCAAGAAGAGCCCGCTACTTGCTGTCAGAACCTCAGTCAGGAGTCAGGGCACTGAAGCCCAACGGCAACTCCAAGCACCCCACCCCGCTAACAGCAAGAGCAAGAATCCTGATTGTCAACCTCTGACGTCTCCTGCGATGTGGTGGCCTCAAAGCGATCCAGGAGCTCATCACCTAAGCTTAGAGAACAATTCCAAGTGCGCACTAGGCCGACCGCGGGGCTTTCGATCGCATTCGGACATCGGCTACGCGACGCCGCGGCGCTTCCACAAAACCAGCTTTCGACAAACCGTGTATGTGCATGTGCGTGCCAATATAAATATATGTGTGCGTATATGTATATATGTATATATATATATATATATATTATACATATATGGTACCCCCCCCCCTCCAGAAGCCACGCCCTCAACCTTTGCCGCAGGTACGATCCACGGTCGAGCATATGAACAAGCTCTTCCTTGCTTCCTTTGGTTGGTGTCCTGTTGTTTAGTGCGTATGTCCGGTGAGTCGGTATGGTATGCTTGTCTAGTCGTGTATGTATACAGGTACATGCATATGCAATTGCAGGTGAAATTTGACGTTTGTGTATGCGCATGACGAGAAGCCAATCACAGAAACACATTCATCGAGACTGTACCATAAAACCAAAAACACCAAAGCTCATAGGCCACGAAATTAGCATGTTCATCGGGACAGTCCCAAAAGCAACAAAGATTCCGGAACCTCTCCGAAGTTGGAAATGAGCATATTTCTCGAGACAGTCCCAAACAAGCCCAAAACACCAAAGCTCATAGGCCACGAAACGAGCATGTTCATCGAGACAGCCCCAAAAGAAACAAAGATTCCAGAACCTCTCGGAAATTGGAAATGAGCACATTTCTCGAGACAGTCTCAAAAAAGCCAAAAACACCAAAGCTCAGAGGCCACGAAATGAGCATATTCATCGAAACAGTCCCAAAAAAACAAATAAATACAAAAAACAACAACAAAAAAAAATCCTGAACCTCTCTGAAATTGGAAATGAGCATGTTCGTCGAGAGAGCCCCAAAAAAACAAAATACAAAAAACAACGTAGGCCAGTAAATGAGCATATTCATCGAGACAGTCCCAAAAGCAACAACAAAACAAGGATTCCAAGCTATTGGAGCTGTTTCGAGAAATGGCCTTTGTGATACTTCCGAATCTTTGGTCTTTTTGCTCTTTTTGTACTGTCTCGATGAATATGCTCATTTAGAGGCCTATGGGTCTTGTTATTTTTGGTTCTTTTTGGACTGTCTCGGAGAATAATGCTCATTTACTGGCCTATAGGTTCTGGTATTTTTGGTGTTTTGGTGACTGTCTCGAGAAATGGCCTTTGGGATATAAATTTCCGAGAATTGGGCCACCAAAGGCAAATCCTTAGTTGTATGTATACAGACTCTAAACACCAGCCGCGCTCTGCAAACATGTGTGTCCGTTCATGTCTCAGCTCCTGTCAGATCAAGCTTCATCAAGCGATATCTTTCGTAGCCTCGTCGCATCAGTGCTCCCATGGCTAGCGTGCCTCCTCGTGACGTGGTCTCTTTGGCCCAGAATAAGCTTCGAACTATGTACAGAGTTGTTACATCATGCGCTCCTGCGTGTCTGTACATAGTGAGTTCCTTTACTAAATATCTATAATATATATATATATATATATATATATACATATATGGGGCAGGAACGGAGCAGCAGTCCAATCCAATCACCAACACTTGGGCACTCACTGCGACAATCTCCCCTACTGATGACCACCAGTCACAAGTCAAAAGTCACAACCTGAACCCGACGAATATACACATCACAACAGGAACAACCTTGCGAGCCAAATGCTCCCCAGGACTTGGCGCCGTGCGCACTTCCTCGAGCTCGCGGATAAGGCGATCTCGATCGGGACCCCTCGTGCTCAGTTGCACTGCTGCAAATCTTATGAGTGATAAAAACGGGGGCGGAATGGGACAGATAGAGAGGGACAGAGACAGAGAGACAGAGACAGAGAGACAGCGTGAAATAGAGGGAGAGCACAGGAGGGAGGGAGGGAAGGAGGGAGGGAGGGAAGGAGGGAGGGAGAGAGAGAGAGAAAGAGAGAGAGAGAGAGAGAAAGAGAGAGAGAGACAGAGAGAGCAGTTAGGAAGCCGCAGAAATCTATCGCACTGGGAGCGGAGCATTCCTTCAGATGTGAGCATGTCATCGGTCTCAAGAGCCTGAACAGCGGAGGAACCCCAATTGTGACGACGCAGAACGACTCTCCGCTCATCTGCTCCCTGTTGGCAGCACCAAGGTTCAGGCTTCAGACACTGGCCTCCGATGCACGGCTGCTTCAGTGAATTCTCTGTTTCACATGGACAGTGAAGAAGTACAAGAACTCGGGCAGCCATGTGTTGTGATGACTCTCTCTTACCCTTCCAGCATGATTTCGGCTGCAGCTGGCACGGATTCTCTGGGTCACCTATGTAAACCGGTCCACTTTGAGGCTACGGCCCTTCGCTGTACGACTTGCCGTGAGAGCATTTTGCCTGTCCGACATAACAGGAATCGGAGACAGCTAGTGCGCCCAGCAGCTCAGGAAAATGCGCTGCGGAGCTGGCCTCGCCGAGGGCCCGCCAGAAGCTCAGAAACTCAACATCTCCTGAATGTGGTTCTAACCGGAGCTCGTTTCCTTTACACAATCTTTTCGGACATCACCAATTACGGTCAGCTGCCGTCTGTGGCGAGTTTCAAACGGCTGGGTGCTTCCTCCCGTTGATAATGACTTTGCATTGCATGGGCCTGGCCTGTGGTGCCAATCTGTGGGGCAGAGCAGATCGAGATGGCCTGTCGATTGCGATCAACTGTGCGAAATCCGGGCTCTGCCGAGTGTGACGAGCGGCCTGGTTGAAACCGTCGTCACTGAGCTGAAGACGATCGAGATGTGGCAAACTGCAGTCGCGATGTGGGTGCTATCCAGCAAAGTCGAACATGTAGTGAAGCAGGAACAAAACTCAACGTTGAACTGCTGCAAGTGGAGGTGCCTCGCACCAAGCACGGGGGCAGGCCTGTCAGAGCCCCTAGTCAACGGCCCCTCTTGCAAGCACCTCTCCTCAGTTGAAAGCTGAGGAAAGAGCGCGCTCGTGCCGCTCGGCTGAATCAGGGACCATGCCTGCCCGGCAAGAAGATTCGTACCCCCATCAGGTCGACAAGCCAGCAGCGGCAGCGTGCTCCCCCAGCACAACTCGGCAGTACCAGTCTTCTCCAGGCGAGGACTCAGGGGCGAGCTTCGGGGTTTGCATGGTAATGCATGCCATCTCGAGCAGCTCTTAGCCTGTTTGCCCGCTGAAGTTTGGGGCCCAAGGCGGGTAATGGGCCACTGGCCTGTTGCGTTTGGCTTCACAGGCTCCAGATGTGGAAGACGTGTACCTCGGGCCTCGAGGGCAACCTCCGCTTGGAGCATCGCGGGCCACCTTTGGACTTGACTTCAATAGAGAAAAAACGTGCAGCACCACTTCAACCCACGCTGGGGTCCAGGCAAGGCTCTGAGAAATTCGACGAATTCATGGAGTTAGAGAAGCACTTCAGCTGTTGACCAGCCTTCATGACCTCTAGTACTGTGACTTCCCATCTCGTCGACTTCGAATGCGCCATCGCGTGTCTTGTGTCAACGCCACCGTCTCTTGTGACGAATGCTGTCTCAAGATAAGCAATCACACAATCCAATGCGTTCTACTGCTGCACGCATATTCGGCCAGCAGCCGTACTCTAGCCCTCCCGGAGCTGTAAGCATCCTTTTTCTGTGCGGTATTGTTTCGGTCAGCAATCGTTCGGCAGGTCTGTGTCAAAGAGGCACCAAGCAATTCGTTCAACTTCTCGCCTCTTGGAGGTTACGGAATTACGGAATTTGAAAGAATTAGCTGTCGGTTTGCTTGATGCTCTGCCTGGAAACAACTCCCAGTTTCGCATCCTGTGAGGTCAAACATCGCGAATTACATGCACACGCCAATCACGAAAACTCCTGGTGCTTCAGGCCTCGTCGTCTTCCAACACGTCTTCAGCGGTCTTAGGCTAGTCCGGAAGGCTGTGAAATCAAGGTTTGCACCGGCGGTTTCAGATCTGCTTCTTGGCTTCTGGAAGGCCTACATCTGTTTAGACGATCTGCAGCATGAGGCGACTGGCGTGTGACGCAGTGTAGGGCTTCGGCCAATCAAAGGGCACACGAATGGAGCAGCACGACACTCCACGACAAAGTCCAGCTCTTTTTCGGGAATACCTAGAGATGTGAACACTATTCGAAACAATTCGGTCCGTCTGCTTTTGCCTGCAGGAAGGGTTGCCGCGCTATGTAATGCTAGGCTGCTAGGCTGCTCTCGGACTTGGACTCCATCCAGAGTGTTCAGAGCTTCGTCCAGCTCCAGACTGACCTCCTCTCGCTGAGAAGGCTTGAAAGCATCTGGCTACAACGAGACACCAAGCACGGCAGACACAAAGCACAGCAGGCACGAAGCTCCGCCACGTGAAAAACCAGCCCGTTCTGGTGCGTCCGAGTTCCCGAACTCGCAGGAACCCTCAAAGCAGCTAGACAGCGCTGCAAGCCCAAAATGCACATAAGACGGTGTTAGATAACCGGCCATGCCAATCTTCAGCAATGTTCTTCGAACGTGGAATGTGTGGAGTCGCCGATGCGTCTGACACCATCGAATGAGAGGCCCCGAAGGGAGCCACAGTCTGTTCCAGCAGAGTGCAGCGGCCAACAAAGCGCTGGAGCACTTGAGCACCGCAAAGCTTTCTGGTCATCTCATGGTTGCTGCTTACTACATGCCGTGTCATACACTCATACGACAGGCGAGAGAGAGAATCGTTATCTCATGAAGCTGCGTGCGGTTCGTTGATCCGTAGCGTGCTTTGCGGTGCAGTGGCTACCGTGCACCGTCAGCCACGGCTTGTGAGAGCATGGACCATGGAATCCATTTCTTTGGGTTCAAGATTCTGCGAGGCCTTCGTTGCCACTCTCCACAACTGCGGTCCTCGCACCAATCGTGCTACGCTCCACAAGCTTCGAGCTAAGCATGGACTAAGCATGGAAGCTGCAAGCTGGAAGAACAAACGATGGAAGTTTTCGCTTGACGGGGTCACCAGTCTTGTGGCCTGCAGCTTCGTGCTTCCTGTGCGAGGCACATGCCATCAGAATTTACGGCTGCATCTCTGCAATCTAGACCGATCTAATCTGTGACCAGACGGCCTCAAATTACACCTCTTCAACTAGGGCAACTAGGGCTGACAAAACTTGCGACTTGCCGTACCTGCACTGCAGAGTTGCCGCTCTACGTGCCCGCGTCAACTGTGAGATGATCGTCATGAAGATCCCGCGCTGGACAAGATGACAGGATGGACAAGCCCGCCCCACAAAGGAAACAGCGCTTGGGAGTAAGCCGGCAAGGCTAACTTCCATCATACGGTCCACAGAATCAAGTCGAAAGGACATGACATTACCATACAAACCTTACAATTTGCCATCCAAGCTGTCTATCCGCCCTCGCGCGGAAGCCCAGAGTAAAAGAGCTTTACTCTCCCGGTTGTGGCTTCTGCTCCTTCTCAGGGCTCGACGATGACGAGGGATCAAGGTCAATGTCCTCCTCCACAAGAAAGATAAAAAAAAGGCATACCCCGATGTGCACAGCTCAACCGACCGTCGCTTCAGCAGGAAAGCAACTGGATGTGCCAGTTTTTGTTGTGCAGTTTTTGCAAGATCTTCGTAGTGTGCTGGTATTTAGCGCGCCCTTTAATGCTTACTCCTTTCTGTTCGTATGATGTTGACGAAGAGAACAGCGACCATATGGTTGGTTTCCCTATGAGCAGTAGGCGGGTTCGGCTGCTCACCATCGTTCCCGACGAATGCCTCATGCAGCCTACCACAAGTGTTTGTCCGCCTAAAATGAAGGTAGATGCTATCTTGAACGATACCGTCGATATTGTGAATTGTCACTCTTGTTTTGCTACTCAAGTTCATGAAGTGACGCGCAAATATTCAGACTGCACCAGATTTTCAAACCTGTGCAACTTGTACACATGTCCCATTTCTCAGTTCGGACACGGCACCCAGTGCCACCTACAAGTCCTACCGTATGGCTGCCGGTCCACGTTTCAAAACGCGGAAATGGATTCACAATGTCTCACCACATCAAAGGGAGGATTGTACAAACGTAAGTGCGTGCGTGTGGGTGTGGGTGTGTGTGTGTGTGGGAGACTGTCAAGTTTCTAAGGAAAACAGTCCTCATCAAGATCTTCTCTAAAATGGCGATTCTCGGTCTTACCTATGTCTCCGTGTGTGTGTGGGGGGTATGCAGGCGCGGGCGGGCGGGCGAGCGGCCGGGCAGGGCAAGCAAAACATAAGAACCCCACATAGTGATGTGGGAAACAGTTCCAGTGCGACAGGCAAGGCTGAACGTCGGTAGGATCAAGAACCACAAGCACAACCTCAAGCAAACGCCCCAAACAGCTAACTAATCGGCCTTGGCTTTGAACGCGGAGAGGAGGGCAACGAAGTCCTCCTCAACAGTGAGTGCACGACGTGTAAACCAATTCACATGGATACAACATCGTGAAAAAGTTGGCTGGCCTGGGAGCGCTGTGCTTTACCCGCCTGGAACCAGGTGAACAAACACACCTCACATTGCAGCTGCTCGAATGTAGCCAAACATGCCAAACCTCTTTCTCGCTTTTGAACTTGGGCGACGGTGTCTCCTGTCGCCAGTTTGCAAAACTGGCGGGATTCCATCACGCGACACAACATGACGCAACAATTGTCCAAAACGTGCTGAGCTTGTCACCGCATCGACGGCTTCTTGACTCCTATCGGGAGTCCCATGAACTTTCGCGAAACATGATGTAACATCTGTGTCGTCCTCGTCTTTGTCGACGTTGTCCCTTGCTTTTGTTTCAACTTTTCCTGACACTGAATCGAAGGACACAGACTGAAAACGGGAGTCCCCTGCGCAGCACTGTCCGCACCCACAAGACAAATTATCACACCCACTGGCTGAAATTCACGAAACTCTTGAAGGGATCAGCGGATTTGCGAAGTCAAGACTTCTCAGCTTTTCCTTGAAGAAACAATCGTTCGGTTTCATTCCTATGACGACGGCAACTCCGAACGCCAGGGGACGCACATTGCGAATGCCCAGCCATGCTCATCAGGACTGAGTTGAAAGTCGGCAAGGACAAACAAAAACCAACACAAGCACAGCTAGGTGTTTCCACAAAACGGCATCAAGCAGCCAACCTGATCATCAATCGCAAATTCTCGGCAATGATTTTGGCACGAATCGAATCTGCAACAAGTATCATAATCGTAGAAATACGGAAGCCCCAGCAGGCATGCCGCTAACAAACTGAAAGAACCTGATCTGCGACCCAGATCCTCCAATCCTGTATGGCTCGTGTAACGTCATCCAAGTCCAGCAACGGCAACAAATCGTACTTCTTAGCATTGGGGCACCACTTGGAGACCAAAGCAACGGTAACAAATCCTACTTCTTTGCATTGGGGCACCACTTGAAGACCAAAGCAACGGCAACAAATCGTGCTTCTTAGCATTGGGGCACCACTTCGAGACCAAAGCAACGGCAACAAATCCTACTTCTTAGCATTGGGGCACCAACGGCAACAAACCGTACTTCTTAGGATTGGGGCACCACTTCGAGACCAAAGCAACAGCAACAAATCGTACATCTTAGCATTGGGGCACCACTCGGAGACCAAAGCAACGCCAACAAATCGTACTTCTTAGCATTGGGGTACCACTTGGAGACCAAAGCAACGGCAACAAATCGTACTTCTTAGCATTGGAGCACCACTTCGAGACCAAAGCAACAGCAACAAATCCTACTTCTTAGCATTGGGGCACCACGTCGAGCCCAAAGCAACGGCAACAAATCGGACATGTTAGCATTGGGGCACCACTTCGAGACCAAAGCAACGGCAACAAATCCTACTTCTTAGCATTGGGGCACCACTTCGAGACCGAAGCAACGGCAACAAATCGTACTTCTTAGCATTGGGGTACCACTTCCAGACCAAAGCAACGGCAACAAATCCTACTTCTTAGCATTGTGGCACCACTTCGAGACCAAAGCAACGGCAACAAATCCTACTTCTTAGCATTGGGGCACCAACGCCAACAAATCGTACTTCTTAGCATTGGGGCACCACTTCGAGACCAAAGCAACGGCAACAAATCGTACTTCTTAGCATTGGGACACCACTTGAAGACCAAAGCAAGGGCAACAAATCGTACAGTTCGGTCGGACTAGTCCGATACCCTAAATTAGAAGGACAAGAGAATCCTCGCACGCACTCGGACAGTGGTTCTCTTTTGCGACGAATGCCTGAAGTCCGGAGGTCGGTGAAACAGACCTCGGTCGGATAGAGAAAGATCTCCGGTCCTTTTGGCGGCGGTCGGACCGCCCCGCAAAAAAGGTGAATGACAAGGCAGGTGTCCTTCGCCCAACAAGCGGTGCAGCAGCAGAAGCAAGGCGGCCTGGGCCGCAAGCTCCCAGGTCGCTATGTACGATTGCAAGGAGCAGTCGGACGGAAGCCCACGGGAAAAAACGGAGGATTTGAGGCTTCGTAAAGGTGACCGGACGAAGCCGCCCATGCCCACAGACGAAGCGTCCGCGCAAGCGTCAGCGAAGGCAGTACAGTCGAACTTCGGAGGGAGCATCAGAGACCGGATGTCGGAGCCAGAGTTGGCCAAATCAAGCCACATCCGGATCACTTCGCAAGACGCATCAGAGAGGCGGCAGGAAGAGCGAGACGGACTCGATGACTGCATCCAAAGCCGGCGCAAATCCTTACGGACAGACAGGGACTTCTGACCAACGCGGAGCAGCTTGGACCCGGGAGGGATCGCAGCGATGCCCACCGGACGGACGGAGAACGACCAGGTTGGAGTCGATGTTGGCAACACAAGACTGCCACTTTTCGGGAGAAACGAGCGCTGGTCGGCATAAAGCGGAGCCAACGAGGGGCGGAAGCAGCGAAACAAGGACGAGCCAAAGGAGCTTACCGGTGAGGCGCTCCAAATCCCGGACGAAACAATCACGGATTGCAGAAGCTGTTTGGCCAGCACGACCGGGTCCAAGAGAACGGTAAAGCAGTCAAAGTCCATCTGCCAGCCAATCCAAACGACGGAAGGAGCCAAAGTGCCCTTGTGCCAACTCATCGGGATCTTGAGGCACAGCAGAAGGACAACGACGACGGAGGCCCAAAGAGGGGCGGACAAACGGTCAAAGAGAGCCAGAATGTCATCAACATAAATCCAAGAAGAGCGCGAAGTAATCGACGGAGCAAGCGGACGAGAAGTCCCGCACAACGAGCCCAATAGAAGCTGCTGACGCGAGCTCCGAAATTGAGGGTGATGCACTGAAAAAGGCGGCCGGCATGGCGGAAGCACAACAGGCCACGATCCGACGGACGGATAAGCATGCGCCGATGGGCCTTCGCCACATCCAAGATTAAGGCCACCAGCTGCGACCGGGAGTCGGAAACAGGGACGGACTTACGGACATCCATCAAGGACGGGTTAGCCGAACGGTTCAGAAGGCGAGCGTTGGAATTGACCCTGGAAACGGAGGAATTCACAACGAGGACAACCCCCAGATTCCCAACGGCGGTCCGCGCGTACAAACGGCGAAGCTCAGCATCACCACCGGGAACCTCGCGGATCCAACCGGCCGCCAGCTCTTTTTCGAGTAGGCGGTCAACCTCGTCGGAGTGATCAAGGGCGGACTTCCACGAGGATTCGCAGTGTGTCAGAGGGAGATGTACCTGGTCGGGCGGTGCCGGAGGGTGCATGAACAGCGGCGGAATGGCAGTGCCAATGCCAAGTGGCAGGCCCTCACGCAGGAGGTGAAAATAATCCGGGTCCGGATCAGCACAGAGCAGCGACAAGCAATGCCAAAGGTTAAGACGGAAAGGCTGGCCATCTTGCACCGCAAGCAGGGCGGTCGTATCGCAAGACACATGAAGGAACGCCCGCAAGTCGGCCAGAAACGGCGCCAACTCCACCGATGACCAGGGGTCATCCCTGGAGCCCGACAACCGGCGGGCAGCAATGCGCTGATGCAAGCCGGAGTCCAGGAGACGTTTGCACCAGGCTTTGCGGAGGTCACCCAAAGCGTCCGACTGGGTTGGAGGGAAAACAGTAACCGAGCTACAAAGGCCCGCACCATTCGATGCGACCGGACGAGGGAGGCCAGCATGGGGATGAGGGAAGCAGAGACGTCCAATTCCGGACGGAAGAAGCCTCCGACCCAGGATCGATGAATGGGGCCGCAATGGACGCAAGAGCAGTGGCCAGGGAGGAGGGGCACCGTGCGGTGTGGCGGGTGAGAAACGAGCCATCAGAAGCACGCCGGCCCGACAACGCTGGGTGAAAACCCAAACGGTGTGGGCACACGGAGGCCACCAAAGCAATCGATGCAGAGTTGGACAAGCGTCCAGGCTTTGTCAGCCGGAAGGGAATGAGCACAGGCAGCTACCGTGGCGGCAAACGGAGCGTGGGTGCGGCACCACGCTGCAACTGACGGATCGAGCCAAAGCAAGCTGGATGTGCTGTTGTCAAGCCCCCACAGGACGCCACCAGGACGCGAAGCTCGCGACACCTTGAATGCAAAAGGGTGGAGGACGAAAGTTCCGGAGCCTGAGAGGGGGACCAACCATCCGAGGGCCACCAGGCCGAAGACATGGCGGCGCAAGGAGGGGCGGCCGCCACAGCACCAAGCCACTAGCAGCCACTAGCACAAAGGCGAGAGAGCGACGCAAAGGTGGCATCATCAAAAAGGTCAATTTTCTCGCCAGACAGCAAGTCCACCGGGAGAAAGGAAGCAAGGCGCCGTGTCATCAGGCGAAGCTTGAGCTAGTCAATGCGGCGCAGCGGCATGTTCTGCGGCAGTGTGCGACTGCCCACAAGGCTTGCCGGACGGAAGCATGATCGGGCACACATGCGAATATTTGCAGTTCGGATTTGTGCACTTGAAGAGTGCGAACTTCATGCTGACATCGAGGCCATTGACCTCCCGAGCCCAGGACGGATCAAAGCCAGGGATCGGACCGGCTTGCCCTTCGGGGTAGCCTTGGGAGCGGGCGCCTCGATCTCAGGAATATGCGGAGGGCCCTGGCCGTCAGCAGCTGTGCGTCTGCGCAGATTGGGCAGGGGTATTGGGCGTGACCTGAGGCTGCGGAACACACGCCGGTTTTGAACGGGCTTGGAGGAGAGGAGCCATGCCTCGTTGAGGCTGTCCGTGAGAGACCACGCCTGATCACGCACGAGGCCGGAAACCGCAAGCCATGCAGCACGATCGGCATGCACAACTTCCTGAAGAGTCGGGGCACGGAGCGGCGGGTCGGACGGAACGGTGAGTGCCCGCGTAATGAATTTGTCATTGCAGCGTTTGATCGTCGCAAGGTGCACCAAATCGAGCATCGCGAGAGCGACTGCAAACAAGTCAAGACACCGTCGAAGCACGGATTCGGACGGTCCGTTGATGTTGAAGCCAAAGAAAGGACCGGAAGCCTCCTCCGGCAAATCCAAGAGAGAGCACAAAATTTGCCGGTCGGAGCGCAGGCGGCGGGATTCCTCCCATTGGAGAAAGTCGGATTCCGGAAGTGTGTTGGCGCCAAGGGGCCCACACCGACTGGCCGGATTCATGGTGAAGGCGGACCAGCGAAAGAAACTCCACGGACGGAGTTGTGGCCGGAGTGAGAAGTTCTTCGGGATACTTGGACAGGTAGTCCTTGCGCAAAGCCAAGAGTTCCGAGCGACGGGTCATCCAAACGCGACGCAGGAGGCATGCTGCCCAAGACCAAGGCGCGACAGACTACCTGATGCTTGAGAAATGGCTGCGGGTACAGGACGGAGAGGCACAGCATGGCACAACCTTTACAAAG